TAGTGACATGGATTTCAGGAATTGAAAATAGGAGAAGATTTATGGGAAAATACTGATGAATATGTATTGGCACACAGTATGGAAGTGTAGTTTGGATTACTTTGTTTTGTACTGGGTCAGGGTGAGAAGCCCTCCCCGTACCCTGGTCGGTTTTGCTTATGCTTTATACAAACCTTAATCATACTTAATTAATCACAGCCACATTTTTATTTGCTTGGTTATATTTAATACACTTGATTGTGTGATGTCGATGGAAGGAGACCCGGACACCAGTTGGTTCATCGCAGGTCCCCTTTATTGATCGATACAGCGGGTTAAATACAGTTCATAATAAGCTTCATACATATTGCAAAAGCTGAGCTCAGGATTGGTTAGTTACATATCAGCAACTACGCCTACTTCTGCATTCTTGAGGTTAGTCTTTTGATACTTTTTGCATATTTTCAGCAAGAATCTCTCTTCCCTATCCTCATGTTGCGGCAAGGGCATCGTGTCCTTGCGTGTCATTGGTCACTGACTGCTGACTTCCCTTTCAAGCTTAACCAGCGGCATTATGTCAACATGGCCTTTCTCAGCTAACCAACTGTTAACAAAACTCTCCACATTGTGATATATGTTAGGGAATAATTCGTGCCTGTGTAAAATATTCATGAAATAAGTTGTGCTTGTACAAAATATTCTTCAAGATTTAAAACCACAAGCAGCCCCCTGAGAGATTGCTTCACCAGTTGTGAAATCACAGACTGCAGCCAGGAGAAAAAACCTAATAAGCAAATGAAAAGACGGGGGCTCTGTGTGGAGATGGGCCCTTTCCCAGGACAGTGCAGAGACACCCAAGCTATGAACACCTGATAAATATCCATGATCAAGATAGAGTAATCGAAGGTGTGCATCCCAATACCAGGACAATCAGCATTCATGCTTCCCAGAAACGGTTTTGTCCAGCCCAGCACAGAGAAAAGGAAACTGCATGAATATGTAAAGCGAAATGAGGAATAGGAGAAACTCTGCCTCAAGCAAAAAAACCCCATATAGTTTTTGTATTAATTCTCTTAAGTACTGTGTTAAATATAGTTTCAGGTTATAAAAATAGAAACTATGCTATGTAAGATACTTTGTTTAAAAGAAAGGACTTGCAGCGAGATAGCAGCCACAGGACACCTAAATCTTTCAGAGAAAAAGAATTTATTGCCCTCTTATCAGAAGAAATGAACTTCTTCCCGCCTTGAAGGCAGAGCCCGGTAGAGGCATGTTATAAATAAGAAGCTTGACTAGGCCAATATTCAAGCAGCAATCAATTTATTAATTAATATGGTAAAGTATGAGCAATACAGCGCTGAGTACAGTTGGGGAATTTTTCCCTCCAACTGCACACTGACAGTTAAAGGTTACAGGTATTTATAGGGGTACTCAAAAGCTTTCTCAACAGTTTCGGTTCTAATTTCTACTCATCAGCAGTTTCTAGTCCCAATTTTTATGTCACAATTCTATACACTATTGTGATTTAATTTTTCTCAGGATGTATCCTGAGAAAAGGAGTATCCCCAGATGGTGGTGGTCTGGTTTCCAAAAGAGGAAAGACAAATCCCATCTGGTGGGGTCCAGCTCCCCAGATGTGGGTACACCTTTTGATTGCAGAGACTATAAATCTCATAACAGTGATGTCCAGCTTCGCTTGGTCGAAACTATAAACCCTTGAGGTGATGTTCATCCTTTCTCAAGCTGTTTTTCTCTGCTTTATTAAGGCCTGAGATAAGCATATTTCCTTTATATATATTCCAAAGCTATAGTTTCAAGGATACAAGCAATATTCTAAAATTATACTTCAAAAGGTTATTATTGCAGAACTCTTTAAGGATTAGCTACAAGCAAAAAGCAACACCCTTAAAGCTTTAATTCCAATGCTCCTAAATCAACCAAGGTTAATTGCAAACAACAGATATGTTCAAAGGCCTTCTTCCATACTTTACTTTCCTCAGATGTTATTAGAATTCGCAACTGTCCCATTGTTGGTCTCCACACATATCACAATCACAAATGCACACATTGCCTGTGTGTGCCTGACACGAAACACAGCTTTGTATTTCACAGACAGCATTGGTGAGCAGAGGGGATCCCCAGCCCTCGAGTTCGGATCTGTGTTCCCAGGCTCGACGCTGCCCCTTTGGTTGCGCCTATCGGAGACCGAATCCTGGTCATGAAATAAAATTTATTGTTGATTTGGCTTTATAAATAATTATCTATAACAATTGTATTCATTTATATAAAATTGCAGTTCAATTGAAATTGCTGCTAAGTTAAATTTTGCTGTTTATTAGTTAGGCATACAGAACTTCATTCATAACACTGTTCAGGGATTTTTGTGGTGCTGCAATGGCCTCTGGTGGGAAAACTGAGAAAAAACCAAACTCCAAGTCTGGAGGTTGTTGGTGGAAAGGGAGTGAATATTATCATAGAATTGCGACAATCTTGGCTGTAAAATGACAACTGTGGCATCTGTGGCAAATAAGGAATACCCAGCCTGACCAGGATAATGTGTGTATATATATCTCCCTCAATATATATGTGAAAAACGCCAATCACTTGTTTTTATAATTTTTAAAAGTTTAATAGCAATAAAATGGTTAAAAAATAGGAACACAATTAGAGTAATAACAATTAGGACAAATTGAATTAGGACAATATGAGACAATAGACAAAGAGTTACAGACCCCGAGGTACCTTTTTCTGGGCAGCAGGAGCCCTAAAAAGGACCCCCGTTAACAGAGGATGAACCCTTGAAAGCAACAGCCTGTTGCATATTCATACACTTCATACATGGTGCATAAATTCCATTCACATACAGGATTCTGTCTGGTCATTGTCAGCTTCTTCCTCAGAATCCTAACAGCACCTTCGAGGTGGGAAGAAGTTAATTTCTTCTGATAAGAAGGCAATAAATTCTTTTCCTCTGAAAGATTTAAGTGTCCTGTGGCTGCTATCTCACTGTGAGTCCTTTCTTTTAAACAAAGTATCTTATGTAGCATAGTTTCTATTTTAACAACTTTTATAACCTAAAACTATATTTAACACAGTACTTAAGAGAATTAATACAGCATTATTTTCTAACAACACATATAATATTCATTTTAATATTTGCAAAAAGCCAATCATAAAACACATGCATTTTTCACAATATATAAGCATTCCCTCAGAATAAGAGGAGCTGTGGCTGGTGAGGACGTGCAGGAGGAGCCTTTTAGGTGCCAGTGTGCAGCTGGTGAGCTGTGACTGTGTCAGAAGGGAATTAATTTGGAAAAGTCTCCATCAAGTTTAATTTTCTATGTAAGAAAATGGCCAGATGAGCAGTAGATGAGGGAAGGGAGATGCAGAATGCAGAGGGATGTGGAGACTGAAATGAATCCCTGTGTTGTTGGTGTTGCCTTTCCATCCACAGCGTCCTCGCAGGACTGGCAGCTCTGGCGTGGAAGTGCCCCCCCCAGTGCCCAGTTTCACCCCCTATGTGGACGAGTCAGCTGAGCCACAAATGATGTGAGTTTGAGTTTGGGATGGGGGATTGCAGCTGGGATTCTCAAAGCTGCTTCCTGAAAGTGGGACTTGTTTTGTGAGTACTTAAGCCTCTCTTGCAGCTGGGAGAATTTAAAAATCTGTCGGGCTGGAAGCAATTAGTGCTGCAGCTTGAAGACAGAGGCTTGAGCAGAGGTTGCATAAGGACATGGGGAGTGTTCAGTGCTGCTCATGATGTGGGGGCCTGTATCATATTCATATATGCTAATGAGCTTAATAGCTTAGCTCAGTGTGTTTACACAGAAGCACAAGCTCTGTGTCTTAGGGTGCTGTTTGCTGTGGAAGAGCCCCAAATGGAGGCAGATTTGTGGCTGTTTTTTTTCTGTCTTGGGAACTCTGTGCTCAGCATATCTGGAGTTTTATTCTGAAATAAGCTATCGGAGTTGCCATGCCAACAGTGTTGCTTAGGTCGTGGCGCAGTGAGTGTGCTGCTCGTACAGTGCTCCCTGAAATGCTGATAAATCCCAGGAGATGGGGTGGTTTAGTTAGAGCAGAGGGAAACACATTCTTTTGCAAGGTTGCTCTACCTTTCTGTGGCTAATGATGGCCAGGGAACAGACAGGCTCCTTCTGAGGGAGGAGTGGCAAAGACTGTTTGGTATTACAGACAGTTCCCAGGGGTTGGAATTGCATGGAAGCAAGGAATGCTGAGGAGTGGTGAGCAGCAGGGATTGCCTGTGCACTGCAGAGTGGCTCTGCCCGTGGCTGTGCCAGGGTTTGGCTGACAAATGTGTAAAATCTGCATTCCTGTTAAACTGGAAGTCAGTGATGCCACATCAGAGGGTAAATCTCTTGGCATGCCCCTTTCTCTGGGATGGAGATTTGTTACTTACCAAGGCAGCAGCTTTTCATAGGAGGGAGAGGGATAGAGTGGGTAGAACTGAGCACCAGGCTAAGTTATCTCTAAGGGACTTAGGCAGAGACTTGGCATGTAGGTTTAAATTATGTAGTTGAAATCTTATAATGTCACAGAAATCTTTTCTGAAAAATCCTTTCTTTAGGATTTTTCCCCTTTATGAGAAACTGTGGCCTCAGCAACAAAATGTAAGCAATGGTTATCTGCTGCTGTGGAATGCAACAGGTGCACCTGTGATTGGTCTTGGGTGAATGTTTGGATTTGCTGGCCACTCACGGCAGAGCTGTTCTTGCTTTCTGCCTGGACACAGAACTTTGTGGGGGAGATTCCTTTTCTATTCTTAGTAAGCTTCTGAGAACTTTTCTCTCTATTCCTATTAGCATAGTAATAATGTAATATATATCATAAAATAATAAATCAAGCCTTCTGAACGTGAGGTCAAGATACTCACCTCTCTCTTCACCCTGAAAGACCCTTGCAAGCCCTGTAACATTATAAGTACTTTTTTTTTCTGTCTTTGAATCCATTTCCTCATGGTACAAGGGACACCTGCTAGGGACAGTAGTTTTAAGACTGGGTATTAAGTATTTTAGGTAATGTTGGATATGCTGTATTGGAAGAACTGTGGATATGGTAGAGTCTCTTGTTTTTTCTTTAAAGATGTAGGTCGGCTTCCCCCACTGGCTGCTGTTCCATTTTTCTCCATATTTATGAATCTCTTCTTTGACAAATCAGAATACAAGGTAGGATTATTGAAGACCTGGATTTCAGAGGGAAGGCAAACGCAAGCATCAAACCCTTGCTGTAGTAGCTGCAATAACTGTTAGCTGCATGGATGGGGAGGGGGGTGTGTTTTGTGGTAATTTTTATTGGATTAGTTGGAGTCCCTGATGAGGAAATAGTCTTCTGTTCTTCAAACTAGAACTATTTAAGCTGCTCTATGAACTAGCTATATTCTGGGGAGCTGTATCTGTGGCTTAGTGCTAGTTCTGTAGTAGAAATTGGTTGATTGGAATGATCAATAGACTTACACTCTTGAGTGGAATTTGTTGGAGATGGGCAGCTGCTCTAATAAATATGTAACTGGCTGTAACTTGCTCTTAGTTGTTCAGCAGATGGTGCCCATGAGAAAAGTGCCCGTCAGCCTCTCGCTGTTGGTGATCCTGTGGATTCTCTGAGTGCCAAGGAAAGCACGGCAGCAGCAGCAGGAGCAGGAGCCTGTGTAAGGAAAGACTTGGGGCCATGGCAGATTTCCTGCCCAGGAGACACCAAGGCAGCCTGTGCTGCTGTCAGGCTGGGTCACTTGGCTGGACTGGCATCACGTGTGAGCAGCAAGGATTGTAAACTGCTGCGTGGCATGGCAGTAATTGAAGGGGGTGATGGTGAGCTTGTACAGGAAATATCCTGTTGTGGCTGTGGCTGCCTTGTCCCGGGAAGTGTTCCAGGCCAGGTTGGATGGGGCTTGGAGCTACCTGCACTTGTGGAAGGTGTCCCTTGCCATGGGGAGGGGTGGAAGTCGATGGTCTTTAAGGTCCCTTCTGACCTGGGCCATTCTGGGATTCTGTGCTAAATTCCTGAAGGCTGAAAGTCCTGTTCATGTTGGAAGGTGGTGGAGTGGAAGAAAGGGAAGAGAAATGTTGGGCTTTTACATAAAAGAAAGATTTGTCATACAGTCTGGAGGCTTTCACTGTGTTTTCTGTTTATTTCCAGGATGAGCTGAATGGAATTGAACGCTTGAGTGAGGATGCAATTGTGACGGGCTCCTACAAGAACAAGACCCTTTGTGCCAACCCAGAGGACACGTGTGACTTTACCAGGGCTGCCCACCTGGCCTCAACGCCCTTTCACGGGGTGGGAGCTCAGAGAGTCCCAGCTCCTGCTTTCTCTCAGGGTGAGCTGAAGGAAGATAGTCCAGAATCCGAGAGTTCGCCTCTGACTCATAAAACACCTGTGGGTGCAGGGCCCTACAGTGAAGCGTAGAGAGCTGTAAGCGGCGTGGTGAGCTGCAAAGGTCAAGACTTAAAATTAAGAAGGTGATCCACTGGGGATGATGGGATCTCTAGTGTCAACCAAAGAAAAAGCTAAAGTGTCAGCAGAAGAAAAAGCTATAGTGAATTTATGGAGCCTTATGTTGGACCGCCGAGAGATAAAATATGATAAAAAGGCTCTGCATAGTTTATTGCAGTGGTGTAGGAACCATGGGGTAGATGCCACCATAGAAACTGCATTTCTTGTTAAAATCTGGGAACGGGCTGGTGAATTGATTTTTGAATCAGCCTTTCGAGGTGATGACACTGCTAAAAATATTATGAAAACTTCGAGGCTGGTGCTGGACGCCTTGAAACTGCTGGAACTTGAGCAAAATGCAAAAACAGCAGCTGAGGCACCACAGACTCCACCTGCCAAGACACCCAGTGATGGTGGAGCTCAGGAGGGAGCGGTTGGAGGAGTAGGTGCCACATCAAGTTCACGAGTGAAAAGGACGGGTGAAAAGCCAGAAGGGAAGCAGCTGTCATCCACGCCTACCATCCCTGCAACTCCGCCTGCGCCGTGTGCACCTGCACCCCCACGTCCTGCACCCCCACGTCCTGCACCCCCAGTTAGCACAAAGCCATCCTCTCCTCCTCTGCCTACGGATGAGCGGAGTGATGATAAACTTCTGCCGACAGCCCCTCCAGTGCTTGATAGGTCCAATCACAAGCTCGGCATGGAAACAGGAGCCGGGAGCCGTGCGGCACTTGGTGCTGACAGTTCCAGCAGGGAGCTGCCAGCACCCAGAGCGGCAGAATGCCACACCTCATCGTGTCCACAGCCAAAGCCTGAGAAGCCCAAGGAATCCCCTCTATTAGTAGATTTGTGGAATCCTAACAGGGGAGGCCCAAGTTGTCATCCCCCTGCTGGCCCTCAGAAGGATGATTTTACTGTGCAACCAGTGTCAGCTACTATCTCAGGATATGACCGGGTTAGATTTTGTCAATATCGTAAATTAGAGGCCGTTGCTCGTGGGAATCTTGAACTTGCTGAACGACTTCCTGATCCATATCCCCGGCTGTTCTTGAGTGGCCAAGAGCATGTGAGTGGGACGACTGGGGCTACTATCTCAGCATACAATCCAGTTAGCTTTTGGCAACGTATGAAATTAAAGGCATTTGCTAATGGAGATTATGAAGTTGCTGAACGAATTTCTGTACCTATGTTCCCACAGTCCTTGGATGACCAAGAGGGGCAAAACAATGGGACTGCATACTATATACGAGTCGCCTTAAAAATTCTCACCCAGTTACGCCAACTAGCTACCCAGCATGGCCTGGGGTCTGTGGCTGTAACAAGGATGTTACGGCTTCTAGCTGAATGTGAAATGACACCCTTTGATGTCAAGCAAATAGCGGGGTTGCTCTGTACCCCAAAGGAATATGAGATGTTTGAGTCCACCTGGAAGCAAAACGTGGAAAGGCAAAGGCTGCGTAGTTTAGCGGTGCCGCAGCAAGATCCATGCTTTGGGGCAGAGGTCTCTCAGCTTCTGGGATGGCCTCCTGTAAATAACCCTCAGTTGCAAGCACGCCTAAATCCTTTGATATTGGCCCAGGCAAGAGATTTAGGAATGCAGGCCCTGATGGAAGTTGGAAAAATGGGATTGGTGATGCCAACTCAGAGTTGCATAAAAATTAAGCAGGGCCCCAAAGAGCCTTATATGCAATTTATAGAACGATTAAAAGATGCAATAGAAAAGCAAATAGCAAATGATGAAGAAAAACGTATGTTGATACAGGCATTGGCACAAAGCAATGCAAATGAAGACTGCAAGAAAGCTATAGACCAATTACAAGAAATAAATCCATCCCTAGATGAAATGATTGATGCATGTGCTGATGTTGGAACTGTATCTTTTGAAATGGCTAAGTTGGCTGGTTACTTGGCAGCTGCTCTAAGGCCGTATGAATGCTATGGATGCGGGCAGCTAGGCCACATAAAAGCAAATTGTCCCCGTAGGTACAACTCATCGGGGGCACGCCAGAAATGGAGAGCTGTGCCTGCAGTGGGAAACTGTTACCGGTGCGGAAAACCCGGTCATTTTGCCAAGGAATGCTGGTCTAAATTCCACGCGAACGGACTGCCTCTTAGTGGATAGGGAAACAGGAACAAGAGTCCTAAAGGGAGATGCTTACAGGCATGAGCACCTTCCCGTCCTCCAGTGCAGGCCAATGCAACCAGCTTACAGGGACAAGAAGAGGATCTGCTGATGTGGATGTGTCTGTCGATGGCATTATAACTTACAGACTTGTTGAAGGTATATAAAATCCCCCTCGAGGCCCATGAGCCTACTGGGGAGGGATTAAGTACATTAATATTAGGATGATCAAGAGCAATGTTACAGGTTTTTTTTGCCCACCCTGGAGTTACAGATACAGACTATACTGGACAAATATGTGCTATGGTATCAAGACCTACTCCTCCTGTATCCATTCCAGCTAAAAGTTGTATTGTTCAACTTGCACCTTTTAAGTCTTGTGTTCCTGAAACAGACTCAAAGCTGTGAGGAAACTGAAGCTTTGGCTTTGCTGGGGAGCCTGAAGTATACTGGACTCAGGTCATGTCTGATCGAAGACCAAACGTGGTTTGTACTCATACAATGCCTCAGTCAAATCCATCCCACATCAAGGTCAGTGGGATGATAGATACTGGAGCAGGTGTTATGATCATATCTGCTTACACATGGCCTCAGTCATGGCCCACCATAGCTGTAGGATCTGGCCTTGGAGGTACCACACAAAGTTACTTGAGTAGTAAGCCTGTGTTAGTTGAAAATCCAGAACAGACAGGCACGATCCATCCCTATGTTACTGCTGTGCCACTCACCTATGGGGAAGGGATGTCTTGTCAGCATGGGGGGTTTGGCTGGGAACAGATTTTTAACAGGGGCCACTGTGCTGAAGGGCATAAAGCATCCTAGATTAGCCTTAAAATGACTCACTGATCGACCTGTGTGGGTTGAAAAAGAAAAACTGAACACTCTTTAATAGTTGGTTAAAGAGCAATTAAATCAAGGTCATATTGAGCCATCAGTAAGTCCATGGAACATCCCTGTGTTTGTGATTAAAAAGAAATCAGGTAAATGGAAGTTATTCCATGACTTTAAAAAAATGAATACAGTTATGGAAAGTGTGGGTGCTTTACAGCCTGGAGTGCCATGCCCTGCTATGATACCTGCTACCTGGGGCATTCTGATTGTTGATTTAAAACTGTTTCTTTACCATTCCTTTATGTCTTGATGATATCCCAAATTTGTATTTACAGTGCTCTCTGTCAATCATGCAGCAAAGAAGGCCTTTTACAGATTCAGCCAAAACTGATGCAAGTGCTGCAAGAGTTGCAGTTGCATATTGCACCTGGAGAGGTGCAACAACAACCCCCATGGAAATACCGGGGAGTTAAAATGTTACATCAGACAATACAACCACAAACAATTAAATTTTCAACCAAGATCCAAACATTAAATGATGCACAAAAACTTTTAGGTATCATCAGCTGGATATGACCCTATTTAAGGTTAATTACCCCACATTTATCACCCTTGTTTAATATTCTTGAAGGTGTCCCTGACTTCCCTAGTGTTCTGGTTTAGCATAGCTTATTTTTTAGTTAAAAGCTGTTTTGCCCTCCTCCTAATCCTTATCTCACAACAGAAAATGAGTAAATAGTTCTAGTGGGTACACTGGCATTTGGCCAGTGCTAGACCCACTTCATTAATTGGTGCATTGGCCAGAAAACTCGGATTGGCAAACGAAAACCATTACACTTAATTGATGTTTTTGCCTGGTTACTGAAACCACTGCATCTTTTGGTGGAGAATACAGGCAATTGGTGAAAGCTGTGAGATAATTAGGAGAAATAAAGGGCAAAGCAAGTATTAAGCAATAAGTTTAAATAGAATGATAGTGGAAAATTTATATTGTTATTATAGTGAAATGTCTAGGGGTGGAGGTTAGTGTAAGCAATTTTTTCCTTCTGTTTAGTTTAGTATTTTTTATTGTTCTAAGTAGAAGTTGCATGTTGAATATAATTTTGATAATTTTAAAATGTGTATTCACAGAGACTAGGGGTGGTGAATGTTGTGGTTTAACAAAGCTTGGTTTTTAGGTAAAGAGAAAATCCATCAGTTATGGAAGTGATTCTCTGTGAGGACTGCTAAAAGCTTCCTCTGGGCCCATCAGAACCAATCCTCTGGCTGGTTTTGAATACTGACACCTTGTTAAACCACTTAAGGAAGCTGAAGACGTCCCTGTGTAATCACATTTAAAAACAAACAAAACCCAGGAAAAGCTGTCTTGCTTCCAGCTTCTGACCGGGTGACTGACACTGATCAGGCCCACACTTCACCACGTGGCCCACATGACCTGGTAGGGCTGGGCTGGGCCTTGCTCTGCTGCAGTGCTGGCCACACCATTAAATTGATAATGGCCCTGCCTGCATCTCAGAGAAAACTCATCAATTCTTGCAGTTATGGGGCATGTCACATCTCACTGGCATTCCTCATTCCCCTACAGGCCAAGCCATTGCTGAGCTTGCCCATGGCACTTTGAAGGGCATTCTTGAAAAACAAAAAGGGACAATGTCTGGTGAAACCCCACAAAGTAGGGTGGCCAAAGCTCTGTGTACACTGCATCGCTTTATGATATCGCCAAACTCCCAAAACCGTCATTGCAGTCCTCTAGTGCCATCCAGTTGCCCAAGCCTGAGGTGTGGGGCCTCATTAGCAGCAAGTGGGAAGGTCCTTGGGGCCTTCTGCTCCAGGCTCTGCTCTGGATCACAACCAGCAGCACCTCCCTGAGGGCCCCTCAGCTGACGCTGTGGAACAGAAACAATGTTTGGGTATCAGTTGCTCTCTGCAGCTGATCAGATTGAATTGTGTGGAGAGTTTTGTTAAAGGGAAGTCAGCAGTCAGTGACCAATGACACGCAAGGACACGATGCCCTTGCCGCAACATGAGGATAGGGAAGAGAGATTCTTGCTGAAAATATGCAGAAAGTATCAAAAGACTAACCTCAAGAATGCAGAAGTAGGCGTAGTTGCTGATATGTAACTCACCAATCCTGAGCTCAGCTTTTGCAATATGTATGAAGCTTATTATGAACTGTATTTAACCCGCTGTATCGATCAATAAAGGGGACCTGCGATGAACCAACTGGTGTCTGGGTCTCCTTCCATCGACAGAATTGAATCAGAATTGTCTATGGCACAGCCAGAACAACCTTTTCACTCCTGCTTAGTGGGGGTACCCTTGAATGGCACACAAAGTATACAAGTAACACAAAATGTTGTCAAAATGCGATGCTCTTCCCAGAACATCTTGTAATACTAAAACCCCCTTAGGAACTATGGGATGTTTGGGATAACAATTTACCTGTTGCTTCATGTGAACCCCAAGAGTCAGACATTTTAGGGACATTATCAGCAGAAGGGTGTGTATTTTTTAATTACACACCAGAACATGTGTTGGACAGAAGTGGAACAGGAAAGCAAAATGTTACTCCCAATAGTTTCTGGATTAAATAGGTAGCTTGCTTTGTAGCAGAAAGAGTAAATGAAGCTTCCTTAATTTTGACTGCTATGGCTGTAGATGTAGATAGCATGTGGCATGCTGTTGATTTTCTTTTGTTAGCTCATGGACATAGATATGAAGAGTTTGATGGCATGTGTTATATGGAGGATTTTCTGGGAGAGATCACTGGCTGGAAGAGTTAGGTTTATCAGGCTAGGTGAAGAGCCTCATTCAAACTGGGCTTATAATTTTTTGTATTACCATAATTGTTTTGTACATTGTGCCATGTTTGTTATCCTGTCTGCAAAGGGCTCTGAGAGGATGATAAAGACCACCTTGGTAGTTGAAATACAAAAAGGGGGAACTGTGATGGCTAACAGCTGACCTGAAGGCCTCACAGACACAAGTAACCATGACCTTGACTTGATCAGCCTGTACCTGTGAGAAAAGGAAGACTTTAAGGAAGAAAACAATGAAAAGCTGAAGGACTTAACTGCAAGGAATGGATGCTGGCCAATCTTTGGAGCATGTATGGAGGCAGCTATTGGCCAGTGAGCTGAATGGCAACAAGTGACCAGCCAATTGGGATTGAATGTGCTGCTTTTGAAAACCCTATAAATATGAGCTGTGAACAATAAAGATCACTCTTCCTGCTTGAACCTTGGCATGTCGTGTCTGTCTCTGCTGTGATACAAATGGATGTGGGAAGTGTTCAGTGCTGCTCATGATGTAGGAGCCTATATCATATTTATATCTAGCAATTAGCTTAATAGCTTAGCTCATTGTGCTTACACAAAACCACAAGCTACCTGTCTTGGAGTGCTGTTTGTTCTGAAGCAGCCCCAAATGGAGGCAGACTTGTGGCTGGTTTTTTTCTGTTTTGGGAGCTCTGTGCTCAGCATATCTGGAGTTTTATTCTGAAATAAGCTGTTGGAGTTGCTATCCCAATAATGATGCTTAGGATGTGGCATGAGATGAAAAAGGACTCTGCAGATACAATGTGAATCAAGAAAAAGCCGCTTATTGTGCTTCTAAAAAATATTTATAGATACTTCTTATCATGCTCTACACAGTCATGCATTGGTAAATTGGTAGCTCTGCTTGGTCCACGCATCTCTTGATTGGGAGCTCTACTTTGCCCACCAGGCAGGCATGCATTTTTTGTTAATCTAATTGGTAAATGCTGGTAAGTGTCGTTTTACTCAGGTGGACAGCCCTATGTTTGTCAGTAACTTTGCTGCTGCTTTTTTCTTCTTGCAACATCATCTTTTCTATCCACAAAGATGACCTTGTTCTTTAGTTCCAGAAGGTTAGGCTGGTTCATTAAACACATGTCCATTTTCCTGAAAATATGATCACACAGTGGAGGAGTGAAAGTCCTCCTTGTACAGTGCTCCCTGAAATGCTGATAAATCCCAGGAGATGGGGTGGTTTAGTTAGAGCAGAGGGAAACACATTCTTTTGCAAGGTTGCTCTACCTTTCTGTGGCTAATGATGGCCAGGGAACAGACAGGCTCCTTCTGAGGGAGGAGTGGCAAAGACTGTTTGGTATTACAGACAGTTCCCAGGGGTTGGAATTGCATGGAAGCAAGGAATGCTGAGGAGTGGTGAGCAGCAGGGATTGCCTGTGCACTGCAGAGTGGCTCTGCCCGTGGCTGTGCCAGGGTTTGGCTGACAAATGTGTAAAATCTGCATTCCTGTTAAACTGTAAGACTGTTTCTTTCTCCTGGAAGTCAGTGATGCCACATCAGAGGGTAAATCTCTTGGCATGCCCATTTCTCTGGGATGGAGATTTGTTACTTACCAAGGGAGCAGCTTTTCATAGCAGGGAGAGGGAAGGAGTGGGTAGAACTGAGCACCAGGCTAAGTTATCTCTAAGGGCCTTAGGCAGAGACTTGGCATGTAGGTTTAAATTATGTAGTTGAAATCTTATAAGTTCATTTTGTTTTTCTGTCTTTGAATCCATTTCCTCATGGTACAATGGACACCTGCAAGGAACAGTATAGTTTTAAGACTGGGTATTAGCTATTTTAGGTAATGTTGGAAATGCTGTTTTGGAAGAACTGTGGATATGATAGAGCCTCTTGGTTTTTCTTTACAGGTGTAGGTCTGTTTCTGCAACAGGCTCCTGTTCCATTTTCCTTTATATTTGATGAATCCTCTACTTTGACAAATCAGAATTTGTCTACAGTAGGATTATTGAAGACCTCAATTTGAGAGGGAAGGCAAACGGAAGCATCAAACCCTTGCTGCAGTAGCTGCAATAACTGTTAGCTGCATGGATGGGGAGGGGGGTGTGTTTTGTTTTGTTTATCTTGGTATTTTTTATTTGATTAGTCAGAGTCTCTGATGAGGAAATAGTCTTCTGTTCTTCATCTTCAACCTAGAACTATTTAAGCTGCTCTTCTTTATTCTGGAGAGCTGCAGTATACTACTGTTCTGTTGCTTAGTGCTAGTTCTGTAGTAGAAATTGGTTGATTGGAAGGATCAATAGACTTACACTCTTGAGTGGAATTTGTTGGAGATGGGCAGCTGCTCTAATAAATATGTAACTGGCTGTAACTTGCTCTTAGTTGTTCAGCAGATGGTGCCCATGAGAAAAGTGCCCGTCAGCCTCTCGCTGTTGGTGATCCTGTGGATTCTCTGAGTGCCAAGGAAAGCACGGCAGCAGCAGCAGCAGGAGCAGGAGCCTGTGTAAGGAAAGACTTGGGGCCATGGCAGATTTCCTGCCCAGGAGACACCAAGGCAGCCTGTGCTGCTGTCAGGCTGGGTCACTTGGCTGGACTGGCATCACGTGTGAGCAGCAAGGATTGTAAACTGCTGCGTGGCATGGCAGTAATTGAAGGGGGTGATGGTGAGCTTGTGCAGGAAATATCCTGTTGTGGCTGTGGCTGCCTTGTCCCAGGAAGTGTTCCAGGCCAGGTTGGATGGGGCTTGGAGCTACCTGCACTTGTGGAAGGTGTCCCTTGCCATGGGGAGGGGTGGAAGTCGATGGTCTTTAAGGTCCCTTCTGACCTGGGCCATTCTGGGATTCTGTGCTAAATTCCTGAAGGCTGAAAGTCCTGTTCATGTTGGAAGGTGGTGGAGTGGAAGAAAGGGAAGAGAAATGTTGGGCTTTTACATAAAAGAAAGATTTGTCATACAGTCTGGAGGCTTTCACTGTGTTTTCTGTTTATTTCCAGGATGAGCTGAATGGAATTGAACGCTTGAGTGAGGATGCAATTGTGACGGGCTCCTACAAGAACAAGACCCTTTGTGCCAACCCAGAGGACACGTGTGACTTTACCAGGGCTGCCCACCTGGCCTCAACGCCCTTTCACGGGGTGGGAGCTCAGAGAGTCCCAGCTCCTGCTTTCTCTCAGGGTGAGCTGAAGGAAGATAGTCCAGAATCCAGGAGTGCAGCACTGAGTCAGGAGACACCAGTGGGCGATGAGGCATTCACTGAAGTTCTCAGTGTAAAAAAACTGAGGTAAATAACAATAAAGGACCTACAGCCCCTTCTCCTGCATGCCTTTCATATTGTGGTTTTAGTATTGCTGAGGAAGAAGTTTTTTGAAAAGACCAGAATATCATGGAGAGAACCATTTCTTTAGCTCAGGGTCCATTTTGCCTTCAGCAGATTGAGGAGTTAATAGCAAGCCCGCTTGGCTTTTTGCATTAGTGCTGTGGGACTTTAGTACAAGTTTTTTTAACCAAATAACTTTCAGAGAATTTAATAAATGCTTTCTGTCCTCATTTTCAAATATGAAAAGCAGAATCACTAGTTTATTTTATACTTGTAGAGAGAAGGTGATTAATGGGACTTAGCATCTTATTAACACAGCCTTACACTTCTGGGAGCCGCTTTTGGTAGTGCCAAAGTATTTATATATTTTTCAGGGATACTCAAAAAGTGAGGTTTTCTGTGACACTAAAGTGGACCACATCTCCAGTTGCATGAGGTGAGAGCATCAGAAAAAATGACAGGATGAATTTAAGACAGAGAAATAATGTGGAGAATCAGTGAGTGCCAGTGGTTACCAGAGGGAAAGCGCGGGAACATACGGGAAAAGGAACAGGAGTATGTCTTTCTACTTAGATTAACTGCGAGCGCAGTGTTTATAAAAAATTTTAGTATTTCCAGCAGGTGGCGCTGGTGCGGCAGGAACTACATTCCCCGTGATGCCCCGGGGCGGCGCAGAACGGTGCCAATCGGGTGGGGTGGGGCGCGGCCAATGGGGAAGTGGGAGAGGTTTGAATTCTGAGGCGGCGCTGCCGTTACGGCTTTAGCGCTGCGGGGGTCCTGTGTCGGTCCGGGCGGCCCGCGCCGCTGGGAGCTGTGTGCGGTACGTGCGGCTGCGAGGGGTTCGCGAGACTGGGCCGGCCTGCGGTGCTAGAGGCTGAGGCGGTCTGAGGTGCTGTGGGGTTCATGAAGGTGAGGCCGTGTGGGCTGAGACGCGCACGGCGGTTGAGGGGTGTGGTGTCCCTGAGGGACCGAGGCGGCCTCAGGGGCTGGGAAGTGCGCGAGACTGAGAATTGTTTGGTCCGTGAGGGCCGCGCGCCTGCGGGGCTGGCGTCGGCTGAGGGCTTGTGGAGTCTCTGAGGGTCTGTGGGGCGTGACGGGCCCTCGAGGATCTGGGGGAGCTGTGGAGTCCGTGAGGAGCTGCAAGGTGCTCGGGGCTCATGGTTGTAGGGTCTGTAAGGGAATGAGGCGGCCTTCGGCGCTGTGAGGTGCGTGGAGCTGTGAGGTCCTTGAGAGGCGCTCGGCGATCCATAAGGGGCTGAGCGGCTGTGGGATCCCGCTGGGGTTGAGGAGCCGTGAGGTGTGAATAGGGCTTGAGGAGCTGTGGGGAGCTGTGGCATTCCTGTGGGGCTCAGGGGCTCTAAGTACTGAGGTGCGCGGCACTGACGGCTGCGGGATTCGTGAGGGGCGCGGGGCTGAGGGCCGTGGGGTGCGCGGGGCTGAGGGGCACGGGGAGATCCGTGAGGGGCTGTGAGGTGTGTGGGGCTGTGGGTGTCTCTGGGTGTCCATGAGGGGCTGTGTCTGTGTGGGATCCCTGAGGGGCTTTAGGGTATGAGGTACTTGGCGCTCGTATTTTCCTGCCCGGCACGGCGCTGGGGCTGCCCGGCCAGCGCCGGATGCCCGGTCCCGGCGTGCGGCGATGCGTCCCGGGGCACCAACAGCCTCGGCTTGCGCCGGTGCCAGCGGGGAGTCCCCGGTACGAGCCGAGGCTCGGCTGTGCCCCCGCCTGCTGCAGCCGCTCGTCGAGCTGGTGAAGGACCAGAGGGTCCCGACTGAGCCTGGCTGAGGCTCCCCCTGGCCGGAGCGCAGCCGTGGGCAGCCCCTGTGAGGAGCATGGGGGAGGTCTCCGGGCATGGAAAAGAGCAATCACCGGGGAGGGAGATGGCCTAATCTTAGTGGCTTTTGCTGCTAATATTGGCTGCTTGCGGTTCTTCACTGTCAAGATGTATTTCCCGTAGGGGGAATTAAACCCCCAAGTCCCTCTAAAAGCCTCCTAAAAGTTGGGTATCTAAGTGGTGTGTTTTGGCTCTACAGGAATTCAGGGTGAATGGGCTTAGGAAAGCAGTCTCTGTCAGGTTTCAGGTCAGTACCCAGCTGTACAGGTGTCCATTTCTTTTTAAGTGCAGGATTAAAGGAGAAGCGTTCAGGGTTGGGGGGGAGGTGGTCATGTCCCAGGAGGACAGCCACGAGTGGGAGCTGAGCAAGGAGAATGTGCAGCCCCTCAGGCAGGGACGGGTGATGTCCAGCTTGCAAGAGGCACTGTCTCAGCAGGACTCTTCCAGCCACACTGCTCTGCAGCTTAAAAAACAGTAAGTGATGTTATAACAGCTCCTTTCCCCTTATCTTCCTCCCTCTTCATTTTATGTATATCTTCTTTAACTGTACTGATCTCACAGGCATTAAAAAAGGCATAAAAGAAGTTTAGTAACTGATATCTGTGCTACTAACTCGCTCTAGGATTTTAGAACTACTCAGTGCAGGTGTTGTGTAGTACAGACTTCAACTTTTTCATTTTGCAATGGAGCATTTGAACAGCAAACAGTAGAGAGATTTGGCTGTGCTTTTTAATTTATAATTAACTCTTAATTTGTAATATACAAGATCAACTTACAGTGATACAAATGTATTTATTGGATGAATAATGTTCTGTTTTAGGGAGTTTGAAGCAGAAATACGATTTTACACTGGAGATGATCCTCTGGATGTGTGGGAACGGTAAGTTTTTCTTTATTTCAGAAAAAAGAGTTAAATGGTCACATATCCTTGCAAAAGCAAGGAAAACACATTCTAATTTAATAAGAAACTCATTGAAAACTAAGTTTTATGATTGTTTTTAATTATTATACTGTGTTTCAATGTTATGCCTATTTTTTTCTTAATCTCTTTATATTTTAGAGATGCTTATTAAGAACTGACTGGCTATGAACACATTCTGTCTCTAGGTACATCAAGTGGATAGAGCAGGCCTTCCCTGGGGGTGGCAAGGATGGCAACCTGGCAGCAGTTCTGGAAAGGGCAGTGCAAGCCCTCCACGGGCAGCAGCGATACTACAAAGATCCTCGCTATCTGAATCTCTGGCTCAAGTTTGTGAGTGCTTTGGGAACATCTCTCGGGTGCTGCTTTTCCTTGGGACCTTTTCCTGGTGTCTGCACACAGCTAAGTTGATTCTGGTGACAGGAGTCAAACAGGGTTGTACAATGTGAAAAACGCCAATCACTTGTTTTTAAAATTTTAAAAGTTTAATAGTAATAAAAAGGTTATAAAAATAGTAACATAATTAGAGTAATAACAATTAGGACAAATTGAATTAGGACAATGTGAGATAATAAATACAAAGAGTTACGGACGTCCGGGTACCTTTTTCTGGGCATCACGAGCCTGAAAAAGGACCCCCGTTAACAAAGGATTAACCCTTAAGAACAACAGCCTGTTGCATATTATACACCTCAGACATGATGCATAAATTCCATTCAAACACAGGATTTTGTCTGGTCAGTGTCAACTTCTTCCTTCTAATCCTAACAGCGCCTTTGAGGCGAGAAGAGGTTCGTTTCTTCTGATAAGAAGGCAATAAATTCCCTTTCTCTGAAAGGTTTAGGTGTCCTGTGGCTGCTATCTCGCTGCAAGCCCTTTCTGTTAAACAAAGCATCTTACATAGCGTAGTTTCTAATTTTATAACCTAAAACTATATTTAACACAGTACTTAAGAAAATTAATACAGCATTATTTTCTAACACAACACATATAATCTTCATTTTAATATTTGCGAAAAGCCAATCATAAAATACATGCATTTTTCACAACAATGAGCGCAATATTGGATGTAGTTTTCTGCAAATGTTACTCTTGAATTCTGCTTCTCGTTTCCAGACTATTTTTTAGGATTGTTCACTTTGGACAGCCACAAACTCTAGAAGTTTTTGTTTTGAGAAAGCTGCCTTGAATAGAGTTCAAATATTTATTTAAGGAGAGCTAGAAGTGATTTAAAGATACAACATCTAAAATATATCTGTCCTACCAGATAGTTTAGCTTCTAGCTGTATTCTACCCCCATCTTTTTAAACTCCAAAGCATGCTAAGTGTTCTGGTCCTGTCCTGTCTCTCCATTGCTGTAATTTTTGTTGTCCATTGCTTTACAAAGCAGCTTTTCCCCATCTTTAACTTGCTGAGGTAATCCACCAGTTCTAAAAGTGGCAAGGAATATGCTATACTTCATCTGAAGCTAAAATATCTGTTCATTCTCAGCAACACTAATATGGTGCAATTCCATCATTGAATTACCTCACATTCAAATAAGAAATGATAAAATTCTGTGTATTGGCCGTGGAGCTGTTCCTGTCAGAGTTGTACTGAAATCATGGGGTCTTGCTGGAGGCATTGAAATGCAGATTTTGCCTGTGAGCCCCTGCAGTGCCGTGTGATTACCGACATCCTTGGGTCATTGCAGGGCGATTGCTGCAAGGAGCCCTTGGATCTGTACAATTACCTGTGGAGCCAGGAGATCGGCACCACGCTGGCCGCGCTCTACATCACCTGGGCAGAGACACTCGAGGCCAGGGGCAGCTTCAGGAAAGCTGATCTGATATTCCAGCAAGGACTCCAGCGCAAGGCTGAGCCTTTGGACAAACTCCAGGCTCATCACAAGTAAGGGAAGAGCTTAGGTGCTCACCTGGGTTCCCGGGATAGGGAAGGCTATGCTGACTTCTCCAATGGTTTTTTTGTAGGCAGTTTCAGGCCCGTGTTTCTCGGCAGACGTTACTGGCACTTGAGGATCCTCCTGATGGAGACAATATGGGATTGCTGGAAGTTGCAGAGCCTCAGAGAATTTCTTTGGCAGAACTCAAATGCAGAGGGAAGAGAGCCCCCATCAATCGTGTTGGAGATGCAATTAAAGGTACACTAAAGAGCTCAAAAACCTGTTCTTGAAGGAGCTTAATCTCTTTATAGTGAGATTTGCAATTAAATGTGGCAGTTGAAGGTTAATTGACATAAATCTTCTTGTTTATAGTCATCAACCCAAACAGAAGCTCCCAGCCTCAGGGCTCTCGACAGCTTCCAAATGCTCGAAGTGTTGCTGTATTTGAGGACAATTCTGTGTCTGGACCTGAGATGCCCACACGTACAGCAGGGTCATGGCCAGCACCTACAGTTGGCAGGGGCAAGGAGAATGAACGCAGCGCAGGACCGTGGAACTCTGGCAGGGTAAGGAGGCTCAAAATGGACAGGGAAAAGAGAGGAAGGTGTGTGGAAGTTGATGACTTCTGATTGCTGAAACAGAGGTTGTCTCTTTCTCCCTTGCCTGTAGTTTGTGTCTATTGCAAATACAGATTTAATAATAAAATTGTGAAATTATTTGGATCAGTGGGAACCTTATAGATATCTGGTTTCACCTTGCATTAGCCCACGTTGCTCCAAGCCCCATGCAACCTGGCCTTGGGCATTCCCAAGGATGGATCAGCCACAGCTTCTGTGTGGCAACCTGTGCCAGGGCCTCAGCATCCTCCCAGGGAAGAATTTCATCCCAATATCTCACCCAAAGCAACCCTCCTTTGGCTTAGGGCCATTCCCCCTTGTCCTGTCACTGCATCCCTTGTGAATGGTTGCTCTCCTAAAGAGTCCCTGGCCATGTGTACTCTGTTCAAGTTTAGCAGGCTGATATTGTTTGAATAAGGTTGAAAAACTCTCTGGGGAGTTTTAAACTCAAGAAAAGGAAATTCTTGCTCAAGAGAAGAATTGGCAGAGGTGGCCTGCTGAAATGTTTGGAGGGCAGAAAAGGAATGTAAGAGGTAAAATATGAGAGAAGGCAGGCATTAGTTAAATGTGTAAGAGAGAAATGTAAGAGTTGAATTATTTTGGAAACTAGAAGCTGAAGGAAGAACTTGTTGGCTGCCTTGTGCAAAGAAGGGCTGTGCAGCTTTCTGCAAGTCTTGTTTTGAAGTGCTTGTGAGGAAAAGAGAAGAGCGCAGATCAAAAGAATTCAAGAGCAGTATCAATGGAATATTTATCCTGGCAATTGGATGACAGAGAGGAGCTTCCAATGGCTTCAAGTAGACATCAAAAGGAACAGCTGTGCTACAGGTGTTCAGGCTGTTGTAGAGAAGTGATGGAAGAGCTTGTGTGAAGGGAATCAATCCTGTGAGATCGGGTTTGTTTCACAGGTGCTTGGATAAGCCCCAGTGTTGCCATGTTCTCTGTAGCTGAGAAGAATAGAAAGGCACGAGGCTGATGCCTGGATGCCCTAGGGTGACTTTATGATGCTTGTGTTATAAATAATAAATGATAAACCCAAATCAATCTATAAAAAATTCATATTTCATGACCAGGATTCTGTCTCCGATAGCCACAATCAAAGGGTCAGTGTCGAGCCCGGGATTAGCTCTTGCTGACCACAGCTCTGAACTCTCTCTGTTCACCACTGCTGCCTCTGCTGGGCTAATTTTATACTCGGGTTTTTCCTTCTGGGCCAGAGTTTCTTCTGTTCTTGTCGCTTCTCATATTCGTGTAGTTTCCTTTTCTCTGTGCTGGGCTGGACAAAACAGTTTCTGGGAAGGGATGAATGCTGATTGTCGAGTTAAGGGAACCTGGTATTGGGATGCACACCTTTGACTGCTCTGTCTTGATCGTGGATACTTATCGCGTATTCATAGCTTGGGTGTCTCTGCACTGTCCTGGAAAGGGCCCATCTCTGCACAGAGCCACGTGGTTTCATTTACTAATTAGGTTTTTTCTCTTTGCTACCACCTGTGATTTCACAATTGGTGAAGCAATCTCTTTCTCAGGCTGCGGCTCGTGGTTTTAAATCTTTAAGAATTTTTCATACAAGCACAACTTATTTTGTGTTTATTTTACACAGGCACAAATTATTCCATAACATGTTTCACACTTGTGTCCCCTGTGGTTTGTTCTGTTGGTCATGTGCTGGAACACAAACTTTTCCAGACCATGTTAGAATGGTAATGTAAAAACAAAGCTTTCCTTGCAAACCTTCAAGGATACAATATGACAAAACCCAGCTCAGAATTCAATCCTTACAGTTGATGGGATTGGGCAGTTGGAATATCAGGCCAGTGTTGTCCAATGAGAGAAGCAGTTGGAGAGGTAATCTCCTCCCTGGCTTCTGCCCTCCTCAGCTGCCTTCATTATGCCAGCGATTGTGTGGTGCAAAATAAAATGTGCTTGGAGAAGTACCAGGCAAGAGATAACAAAATTTTAGGAATGTGTCAATAAGGGCCTGTTCCCTGTGGGAAAGAAAGGTGGAAAAGTACTGGAAGTTACACTGAGGCATTTAACAGTCTACAGAACTCCAAATACATGAAGAATACATGAAAGCTAAAAACTTCAGGTATCAAGGTAATAAAAGTATTTTCCATCTTTTCAATGTGGACATTGTTGTAAGTGGAGCTTGGTAAGGAAAACTTGAATGAGGGAGGGATGCAACCAGGCTAAAATTCTTGGAAACTCCAAGAACATTCTTTTCAGATGGAAAGCAGTTTGGTTACACGAATGGAAAAGTTAACTAAATCACAGATTTAATATAACTGAGAAGAGTGAGGAAGAAGTATTAATATAAAATTTATTTTGCCAGTCTCTTTGTGCTGTTTAAAACATTCATTCTGGTCTCCGAATGCTTCCATATTTCTTTTAATGTCTGCCCTTGGAGTAGTCTCTGCTCCCCTCTTAATGAAATTTCTTAGATTTAATTAAATAAAATATCCTGTTTCTGGCAGAAGAGGCAAGGATGTTTAATTCCACTCCATTGAATGGCAGTGCAAGAATAACCTTTGGTGAATACTCTGACATATTAAAACCTGCACAGGGAAGAAGGGATTTCTCTTACTGCTGATTTCAAGATGTCTCAGGAAGCAGTTTGGGAAATGATGGAAAAGAGGAATGAGTTTGTGAAGTATTCCCACCATGTAAATTTTCTTGGTCTGATGTAATAGGCAGATGAGAGTAGTGTGTTGCCAGACTAAATTCCACCTCTTCTCCTTACTAATGGACCTCAGAAACTGTTAAGGGATTTTTGTGGTGCTGCAATGGCCTCTGATGGGAAAACTGAGAAAAAACCAAACTCCAAGTCTGGAGGTTGTTGGTGGACAGGGAGTGAATATTATCATAGAATTGGCACAATCTTGGCTGTAAAATGACAACTGTGGCATCTGTGGAAAATAAGGAATACCCAGCCTGACCAGGATAATGTGTGTATATATATCCCTCAATATATATAAACATTCCCTCAGAATAAGAGGAGCTGTGGCTGGTGAGGATGTGCAGGAGGAGCCTTTTAGGTGCCAGTGTGCAGCTGGTGAGCTGTGACTGTGTCAGAAGGGAATTAATTTGGAAAAGTCTCCATCAAGTTTAATTTTCTATGTAAGAAAATGGCCAGATGAGCAGTAGATGAGGGAAGGGAGATGCAGAATGCAGAGGGATGTGGAGACTGAAATGAATCCCTGTGTTGTTGATGTTGCCTTTCCTTCCACAGCGTCCTCGCAGGACTGGCAGCTCTGGCGTGGAAGTGCCCCCCCCAGTGCCCAGTTTCACCCCCTATGTGGACGAGTCAGCTGAGCCACAAATGATGTGAGTTTGAGTTTGGGATGGGGGATTGCAGCTGGGATTCTCAAAGCTGCTTCCTGAAAGTGGGACTTGTTTTGTGAGTACTTAAGCCTCTCTTGCAGCTGGGAGAATTTAAAAATCTGTCAGGCTGGAAGCAATTAGTGCTGCAGCTTGAAGACAGAGGCTTGAGCAGAGGTTGCATAAGGACATGGGGAGTGTTCAGTGCTGCTCATGATGTGGGGGCCTGTATCATATTCATATATGCTAATGAGCTTAATAGCTTAGCTCAGTGTGTTTACACAGAAGCACAAGCTCTGTGTCTTAGGGTGCTGTTTGCTGTGGAAGAGCCCCAAATGGAGGCAGATTTGTGGCTGTTTTTTTTCTGTCTTGGGAACTCTGTGCTCAGCATATCTGGAGTTTTATTCTGAAATAAGCTATTGGAGTTGCCATGCCAACAGTGTTACTTAGGTCGTGGAGGAGTGAGTGTGCTGCTCGTACAGTGCTCCCTGAAATGCCGATAAATCCCAGGAGATGGGGTGGTTTGGTTAGAGCAGAGGGAAACACATTCTTTTGCAAGGTTGCTCTACCTTTCTGTGGCTAATGATGGCCAGGGAACAGACAGGCTCCTTCTGAGGGAGGAGTGGCAAAGACTGTTTGGTATTACAGACAGTTCCCAGGGGTTGGAATTGCATGGAAGCAAGGAATGCTGAGGAGTGGTGAGCAGCAGGGATTGCCTGTGCACTGCAGAGTGGCTCTGCCCGTGGCTGTGCCAGGGTTTGGCTGACAAATGTGTAAAATCTGCATTCCTGTTAAACTGGAAGTCAGTGATGCCACATCAGAGGGTAAATCTCTTGGCATGCCCCTTTCTCTGGGATGGTGATTTGTTACTTACCAAGGGAGCAGCTTTTCATAGGAGGGAGAGGGAAGGAGTGGGTAGAACTGAGCACCAGGCTAAGTTATCTCTAAGGGCCTTAGGCAGAGACTTGGCATGTAGGTTTAAATTATGTAGTTGAAATCTTATAATTATATTTTGGGGTTTTTTTCCTGTCTTTGAATCCACTTCCTTATGATACTATTATTACCTGCAAACGTGGAAGTGTTATGCTGTAGCTGTTTAAATGTGATGCAAATCATGCCATCAGTTGTCATCCAGGGTTCTTGGCAGAAGGACCCTCTTGGGATCTTAGTATTGATCCCCACACTCCTCCAATAAAGCTTTGTAATCCCAAATATTTGGAGCACCTGTTTGCCGTATGATCACTCCCAGATTTGAATTTATCCAGCTGAAGTCAGCTGGATTGCTGATGTTTGTAAAGCTGTACCAGCATTGTTTCTTCTCTCCTGGAATTAGCATGTTGGTTTCATCTGCCCCAAGAATGTCCATTTTTAAGTCTCTTTTCTCCTGTGTCCCTTTTCTCCCAGATAACCATGCTACAAACCAGAGTTTAGGGACTTGTTGTGCCTGTGGTTGTCACACAGCCCAATGGAACTAAATTGGCCAGGTCCTGCTGCAGGATGCTGGGCAGTTCAGACATCATAAGAATTTTATTTGTTTTTGACTGTACCTTATTGACACTTTAGGTTGGATTTGTCTTGTTTTGTTTGTTGTTGTTTGTTTTGTTTTAGTTATCACACAATTCTGAGTAGTTTGGTGTTACTCATTCCAATTTTCTCATGTATTTTTTCTAAGCATGGAACAGAATGTCTTTACTCCAAAACTCGATTCTGAAACTAGTCCTGTTGTCTCCCATGCCTGCTTTTCTGTGCTACAGTGAAGTTCACAGAACCTAAGTAATAAATTCCTGCTTTTTCAGGACTCCCTGTAAAATTGAGCCCAGCATAAACTCTGTGTTAAGTACTCGCAAACCTGGGGAGCGGGAGGATCCCCTGCAGCGAGTGCAGCATCAGCAGCAGGATGCTCAGGCCAAGAAGGAGATGGTGATGTACTGCAAAGAGAAAGTTTATGCTGGAGTGGATGAATTCTCTTTTGAAGAGATCCGAGCTGAAATCTACAGGAAGAAAGCGAGAAAGAAAGATGAGGGTATGTTCCAAAGTGGGCTGGAGCAAGTAAGGCATTCCAGATGGAATCATAAAATTGTATTTGCTTCTGTTCCTGCAGCTGCTTCTCCATTTCTACAGGAGTAATTGTTTAACTGCTGTGAGGTGCAGATACAGTAACACATTCAACAGCTTTATGTGGGAGCTGTGGGACAGGGAAAGACCACCAGAAGTTTCAGCCCCTTGACAATTTAGGCTGCAGCCACCAATTGTATGTGAAATAGGCACTGGGCCTTAGAGGTGTTTTTTTCTTAGATGAAATACAAGCCATAGAACGGAAGAAGGAAGAAATACAAAGGAAAATTGAGGAACTGGAAAAGAAATTAAAGAAGAAAGAAGATGACAAGCAGCAACAGCCACATGAACAGGTATTGTCCTCATTTAACTGCAAATAGCTGCAATTTTAAATAAAAGTACCCGAGAAAGCCAAAAGGAAGAATTTCTGATATTATTCTAACACATTTTAAACTTCTTTTGAAAGGATTCTTCACTAGTAAATTATATTCTCTATCTCTTCCTTCTCTGTTTCCAAAACAATGCCTTCACAGTAAGTACTTTAAATAATGAAACAGAGTTGTGACTTTGTAAGCTACTGAACTGCTTACATATGTCCTTAATAGTTGCAGGGTAACTAAAATCTCCTATGAAAGTATAAATATGGTTGCAAAGAGTAAATGATGCCTTTTAACTTCACTATGCAATAAAAGTGGACTTTACTTTCTTCATACAGGTAAGCTAAGTACAAATAAAACTGGCCAAAGGCAACCATTTTCTATCAGGGTTTTAATGGCTACATGGAAATATCTTCATGTTTTTGAACCTTTTTGCCTGGCATGCAATTCTGTAGAATTTGCAACCACTTGCAAGCATTTCTGTAGGTTTGCAACCACTGTAGAACTGAAATGTGGCTTTGTTTCCACAGGCAGCAGAGGTAATGGCAGCTTCCACACCTTTGGGAATGCAAGGATTTACTTTTCCCAGTGCAAAAGAATATGGGGAGAAACAGCCTCAGTCACAAAGGTAATAGAGGGGTTTGGTGACAGCAGGGAGAACACTTGTGAGGCTGTGTAGGTACAGTTAGTAACATGGATCACTAGCAGCCTGTTTTCTCAGCTAGAATGGAATATAGCCGTGGCATCAGCCTGTAACCAGGATCTGTACTCTTTCTGCATCTGTTTGATTATTTGTCTGAGGGATCTTTACTTCTTGCAAGAAGCATTTGTCATCTTGGCTTGCCTTTTTACAGAGTTTATTTAGGTTTTCTGAAGGTCTGTAGAATACAAACTCGTTTATTTTATCTTTTTCACAGTGAATTCCAGGTCTATGAAGATACTCAGTTACGTAAACCATCTTGTTCTGAGGGTAAGTAGTCAAGTTTTTTACCATTAACAAGAAGGTCTGGTTAAAGGGAAGTGTTTCATGAACACCAAGAAGGCAGCAAAGTAAAACCCAAAGCTTAGGTGGGTTAGAAGAATGACAGTGTGTGTGCCAGTAGTGCCTTTTACCTTATTGAGCATATGAGATCTGAGAACTGTCACTATTTGCAAGGACTTTCAAGAAGAAGAAGAAGAGCATTTTTCTTTCAGTAGTTGCAAAGTTTTCTTCCATCTTTTATGTTTGCAGTCTCAGTAACATTTCAGAAGAGTTTAAATCTATCATGAGATTGATAACTACCTTAAGTCCTTTTTCCTCAGAGGTTTGGCTAATGGAATACATCCCAAAATTGTATGTTGTTGATTTTGATAAGTTTTGTTGGGAAGGTCAAATCCTGAAGAACTTTACTTCTGATCAGAGTTGACTTTTGTTGTTGTTGACAGTGGTTATCCAGACTCCTGATGAATCCCCAGACAGCCACAGTGGAAATACATTTTTAAACTCTAAGGAGAAACAAAGGAATAAGACAGTCTTGCAGAAAAATGTACAAATTCTGAAGAATAGTTTAAACACAGCAAGTTAGCTCACATAATATGGTGGTAAAGGGGTGGTTCATTAACGTGGCAAAACCAAACCTTTTAAAATGGGTTTCTTTATATGCCAGCTCTGTAGCTTCCTGTTAGGAGCAGTACTTTTAGAACTGCATATTAACTATTTTAAGTAGAGTTGGATATGCTATTTTGGAAGAACTGTGGATATGATAGAGCCTCTTGGTTTTTCTTTACAGGTGTAGGTCTGCTTCCCCCACCGGCTGCTGTTCCGTTTTTCTCTATATTTGATGAATCCTCTACTTTGACAAATCAGAATATAAGGTAGAATTATTAAGACCTGGATTTCAGAGGGAAGGCAAACAGAAGCATCAAACCCTTGCTGTAGCAGCTAAAATAACTGCTTCTTGTAGCGGTGTGTGGGGGTGTGTGTTTTGTTTTGTTTATCTTGGTATTTTTTATTTGATTAGTCAGAGTCCCTGATGAGGAAATAGTCTTCTGTTCTTCATCTTCAAACTAGAACTATTTAAGCTGCTCTATGAACTTGCTTCATTCTGGAGAGAAGTAACTATTGCTTACTGCTAGTTCTGTAGTAGAAATTGGTTGATTGGAATGATCAATAGACTTACACTCTTGAGTGGAATTTGTTGGAGATGGGCAGCTGCTCTAATAAATATGTAACTGGCTGTAACTTGCTCTTAGTTGTTCAGCAGATGGTGCCCATGAGAAAAGTGCCCGTCAGCCTCTCGCTGTTGGTGATCCTGTGGATTCTCTGAGTGCCAAGGAAAGCACGGCAGCAGCAGCAGGAGCAGGAGCCTGTGTAAGGAAAGACTTGGGGCCATGGCAGATTTCCTGCCCAGGAGACACCAAGGCAGCCTGTGCTGCTGTCAGGCTGGGTCACTTGGCTGGACTGGCATCACGTGTGAGCAGCAAGGATTGTAAACTGCTGCGTGGCATGGCAGTAATTGAAGGGGGTGATGGTGAGCTTGTGCAGGAAATATCCTGTTGTGGCTGTGGCTGCCTTGTCCCAGGAAGTGTTCCAGGCCACGTTGGATGGGGCTTGGAGCTACCTGCACTTGTGGAAGGTGTCCCTTGCCATGGGGAGGGGTGGAAGTCGATGGTCTTTAAGGTCCCTTCTGACCTGGGCTATTCTGGGATTCTGTGCTAAATTCCTGAAGGCTGAAAGTCCTGTTCATGTTGGAAGGTGGTGGAGTGGAAGAAAGGGAAGAGAAATGTTGGGCTTTTACATAAAAGAAAGATTTGTCATACAGTCTGGAGGCTTTCACTGTGTTTTCTGTTTATTTCCAGGATGAGCTGAATGGAATTGAACGCTTGAGTGAGGATGCAATTGTGACGGGCTCCTACAAGAACAAGACCCTTTGTGCCAACCCAGAGGACACGTGTGACTTTACCAGGGCTGCCCACCTGGCCTCAACGCCCTTTCACGGGGTGGGAGCTCAGAGAGTCCCAGCTCCTGCTTTCTCTCAGGGTGAGCTGAAGGAAGATAGTCCAGAATCCAGGAGTGCAGCACTGAGTCAGGAGACACCAGTGGGCGATGAGGCATTCACTGAAGTTCTCAGTGTAAAAAAACTGAGGTAAATAACAATAAAGGACCTACAGCCCCTTCTCCTGCATGCCTTTCATGTTGTGGTTTTAGTGTTGCTGAGGAAGGAGTTTTCTGAGAAGACCAGAATATCATGGAGAGAACCATTTCTTTAGCTCAGGGTCCATTTTGGCTTGAGCAGATTGAGGAGGTAGTAGCAAGCCCACTTGGCTTTTTGCATTAGTGCTGTGGGACTTTAGTACAAGTTTTTTTAACCAAATAACTTTCAGAGAATTTAATAAATGCTTTCTATCTTCATTATCAAACATGAAGAGCAGAATCATCAGTTCCTTGTATACTATTGGCTCCTGTACTTATTTTGACTATATAAAATGATTATAGTGTTTTTACTTTAGTTCTTCTACAGAGTAAAAATGCTGAAGAGAAGAGAAGCCTTTCTATCATTGTGAAGAAAAGTCATCTGGTATATGGGAGTTTCTTAATCTAGAGCTGAGTTGATTTGCTGGCTCTTAGGATGTAAACATGTATACCATGCTGAATGTGTTTTTTACTTAGGAGGTTCCTTGAAAACTTTCTGATTATAATTTGGGAGAAATATTTCCCACCCAACCCTTCACTGCTTTGAAAGCACTGAAGTTGTGTAGCAAAGGTAGTGATAAATATTCAGGATGTCTTCTTTTGTAGCAGTTAAATTTGGTGGAAAAGAAGATTAATGAAGTCTCTAGACTAAGATTCTGAGTATAATCAATCATCAAAACTGAAATGAAGCTCTGACATGACTTCTGGCTTTCTGCTAGGGATGGGAAAGAATTTCTTCATGTTAATTAAATCTGGGTGTGCACAGTGTCCTCTCCTAGTCCCCGGGGTGATGTTATCTACAACTTGTATCTTTGCTTAGTCTGAGTACTTGATGGCTTTATTTACAGCCCCATCATGGAAGCAAGCCTGGAAGATACTCACTCATCAGGTGCTTCAGTCTCAGGAGGTTCTCTGTCCTCTGTTACACAAACATCTGCTATTAAATACCTGCAGATCAGTGAGAAACTGGAGCTGGCTCAGAGCTTGCCTGCTGAAGGGGTTACTGGTTAGTACTAAACTGAATTTCATTCACAACAAATAACTTGCACCTGTCACTAAATGTGGGGATTTTTCTGTCCTTTCTGTTCTGCTTTGTGTGTTGTCCATTACTATGACTGATGACTGAACTTGTCTCCCTTGTCTGAAGCAGCAGTGAGGTGCAGTACAGGATTCTTCATGTCAGCATCCCAAGCATGTCAGTATTAAGGTGACAGAGAAGTTACTTAGGGTAGTAAAGCACACAGTCTGTGGGAGTAATGAGGTCAAATTCCAAAATTAAAAATTTGGACTGGATGGCAGTAATAATTGCTAAGGTAGCTTTGTTTTGGTCTGTCTTTCTTTTTTCTCTGTCATCATATTGTGTGTCTCCTGATCTGCTGATAAGCTACTACTTTGAAAGGAATGAATAGGAATTTGGAGTCTAGTGCAAGTTGCATAATTTTGGTTTAAATCTGCATTTTAACTATGCTGTAAACTGCTGTGTTGCTTCACAGTATCCTTCTTACTCCTATTGATGGAAAGCAGTACTGATACTTAAAATTGTCAATTTCTTTGCTTATTTTTCTTCCAGTTAAAGACATTTGTTTCTTTCTGTTCTAAATATTTAGATTACAGTTAGAACAGAAATGGTCACAGAAAGCCTTCAAAATCTGGCCTGGGGAATTAGATGTGTGTTGGATGATGGTGTTCAAGGTGTTTAACTTTCTTTGACTCCTTTGGTTTTGGCTTATGATGCTTTATTAGAATTGTGTATTTGAAATTTCAGTATATCTGCTCTGGAGAGTTATGTTCTTATGTCCCTACAGACTATTTTATGATGAAGCATGCTTGGGACTTGGAAGGAAAATACAATTAGAAATCATGTCACTTAAATAGCTGGGATATTTTGGATGGATCTTTGTCTTGTTTTTATCATATGTACTAAACTTTAGAACAAGATGAAAAATCTCTTCAGAGAAAAAAGAAAACACTTGTTCAGATGTTTTAATGGTCTTTTCTTAAACTTCGGATCCTTACAGTTCCTTTGTTTCTTGATTTCTTCACATCTCCCTTGAACTGCAGCTCTCACCCTGGATATAGTAATTCTTAATACCGTGTAAAAAATAGAAGTTACTTCAGATGTCTGTCAGTTTATTCCCACAAAATATGCCAGTAAATTTCCTAGGTTTGTGATGGCAAAAGCTTGGAACACATTGTAGCCTCCAGCCTACACTATTTCCTGGCTCTTTCACAGAATTGCTTCCTGAGCAGTGCTTACTGCAATGCTCTTCAAATAAGTGTGGGCATAACAGTAGAGTCTGGTTCTTACATGTGTACTGTGAAAGTTTAAAATGTTCTCCCTCATTTCAGCCATGGCATTTGGGAGAAGGCAGTAGAGGCTATCTAGTTCTTGTGTTTTATCTCAAATGATCAAGCAGAGTAAACATTGAGGCTATCTTGGTTTTTACAGATCAACTCATCTATTGAATGACCTTATGTTCTGTTAAGAAGGAAAATAAGTCCAGTCCTACAGGTGTCTTCCAGGACATAAAAGCCAATAAATTCTTAGCATTGCCAAGAACAGCAGAGTTGGAGTCCAACTTTGTCTTCCTTTTCTTACATCAAACCTCTGCTATAATCAAAGAACTAAATTTCCCTAAACCCCAAACTAATCACTTGCTATGGGCATAGATTTAAAAAAGGAGTGTTGATTTGCAGAATGAGTTTGAATTCTGCTGTGGCTGAAATACTTCAGAGCTTTTTCTCTTGTGAAAGATACATTTTGCATGATGCTACAGTAGAATCCTTGAGACCTCATGATAAAAGTCTCTTAAGGCAGTTTTGAAGACAAGGGTCACATTGACTTCCCAGAACTATTGGAAAGAGATGAGTTGACTTGCTAAGAGATGAACAGTAAATCAGAATGTGCATCAAAAGTTTCCAGTATCCAGCTTACTTTTACTGACAGATACAACTAAATTGCAGAGACAGAACACAATTTCAGCTCATCTCTACATGTTGTTTGTTTTCTTAGATGATGATGTGGCTCAGTTCCCGTGGAGCCCTGAACAGCGTAAAAAGCTTTTAGATTCTGTGCTGTCATCACTGGCTGCTTCTCCAGATTTTCACTTGGAGGCTGGAGCTCTGCCTCACATGGAGCCTGAGAAGGACGTTGAGCTGGGTAGGTGTGCCAGACCCTTTGCAGTGCAGAGTTTGTGCTCTGATGGGTTTGAATTATGGCTCATATCCACCCTCTTAGTTTTATGTGCCACAGGTGGGGAATGACTTGGGAAGAGTATTTACTGTGACAGTTTATGAATGTAAACTTTCCACACAGGAAATAAGACTTACTGCATCAAAATGGAATATTGGAACGATGAAGAATACAAGATGCTTTTTGCTGTTCCAACTGGATGCCTTTTCCAGTTGGATGCAAAGGGATTTGTAATAAAGGTAACACACATGATGGTTATTGTACAAGAAGTGTGAACTGGTAAAATCTCATCTATTAATATAAACTCTTAATTTCTGAATTCCATGGAAGAAGTTTGCTAGTTTGAGTCCTCTTCCTAACTGAGGATATAGTTTAAAAGTTTCTGACTGTGAAAAATGTCTTTCTTGATCAAGTGGGAGGGGGAAAAAAAAGAGGATGAGAAGAATATGAAAATGAGCAATTTTCACTTTATTCCAAAAATAAATGTTCTTCTTATGTACCTTCTTGTAGGTGTATTCTCAGCCTATGCCTTGGGATTTTTATATCACCCTTGAGCTACAGAAGCGTTTGAATTCTGACTTTGACCAGAGCTTCAGTGAGAATTGCAGCTGTTACCTGTACCAGGATGGCTGTGCCATTGTGCACAAGGATACAAATTGCTTCACACTGAGGGTCAGTACAGACAAACCAGGGACAGTTGGAAGGTCCAAACTCCTGCTTGGGTGCCAGTAGTGAGTTTGGAGTGGTGTTATGCTGCTTGCTGAAGAGCTTCTCCTGTCTAATCTGCAATACAGATGCTCTGGGCTTTATCTGTATACAAATCAGGGCTGTCTGTTAATGCCTCAGATGGGTCTGGTTTCTCATTCATAGATCATGTGCTTCTCCGAGACAATCTTGAACCAATTTTTTGCATTTTCTGTCTTTGTGAGTCATAAAGGACTGGAGCCAAAAGCCACATGTTATTCCACAGCGAGATTTGCATCTCAAGCTGTTGTTTCATTTGACCTCTTTCAATACATTCCAGTCAGCTACAGCAAGGTCATAGCAATTAATGTCTTGCTGAATGATTTGCACTTTAAGTCTTGTAAGTGCATTTTGAATTGTTGCATACAAATAGGACTGAAATTCAGTAGTGATTTCAGTCTTCATTTCAATTTCCTCCTCCTGGTCTTTTGATCAATTTTGAATAGTAATGTTTCCTGGCTTACAGTTCTTGTAATTCTGTCTGGGCAAAATCTGATTATAGTGAATTTATGGTGGGACTGTTACCTCTGTACAAATGAATAATGAAACAAAAAATGAGCTGTAAATGTTTCACCTAATGGAAGGTAGAAGGGTACAGAGAAAGATGTTTATTCTCTTTTCAGGATATTCTCTGTGACCGTAAGTTCATCACAAAGGAAATCATCTTCGTGGTTGTTCATGATCTTCTGCATGTGGTAGAGAAGCTGCACAAAGCTGAGATTGTCCATGGAGATCTGAGGCCAGAGGTGTTCTTCCTGGGAGACAGGTTTGTCTCTGCCTGTCAGTGTGGGAGGGTACAGAACAGTCATTTCAGCTACAGCTCCCATGCTGCAGTAACTTCTACCCTTGAGCTGAAGCACTGAGGCCTGAACAGCAGGCCCTGAGCCAAAGCTGATCTCTAGATGACCTTCCAAACCAAATGTTATATTTGTTGGAAATATACATTAACAAATACTCATTAGCACTATAATCTATGTATACACTCGTTGTCAAAACAGGTATTCACTTTCTTGTATTTAGAAACCAGATAAGGCCACACTTGGGGTTTGGGGATATAGGAGAAAAGGCCACTCTCAGGGTTGCTCCTTGAGCCCTAGCCAGGCTTTGGGAGGAACCCAGGAGGAGGCTGACCCCAGATGTTCCTGCACTGGAAGAGGTGTCAGTTTGTTTATTGCCCCCTGGTCAAGCTGGGCCCTGTCCCAGCACAGTTGGAAGCCTCTTTGCCTGTGGATGGACATACCTGTAGGAATTCCCAGTTCTGGGAGGGGATCTCCAGTGCTGGGCTGTGACAGGGTCCCCCAGCTGCTGTGTGGCTCTGGAGGGTGGTCAAGTCTTAGGGTGTAACTGGTGCTGTATCTTCATTGCTGTAGGCAATCCTTGGCAGCAATGATGAGGTGCATTGCTGAACAACTCCTCGTGTAATTCTTTAAGTTCTTGCATTATAGAAAATTACAGTATTCCTTAAGCTGGTTTCTGTGCCTCTTGTGCTGAACCTGCCCTCTGGCAAAACAAGCTGAATTCTGCAGTCCAGGTTTTTTAGGCTCCAGTGTATTCTGATAAGACTGAAAACATTTAATTTAGGAATAAACCTTCCTGTAGAAATAGTATACATTGACTTGGTAAAACTCATGTTCAACAAAATGGTTTTGCTATTATGGTTTGCTGTGTTTTTAAGTTTCTGCTTTACCAAGGTTTTGGACCACTAATGCAAGTCACAATATAGCTCGTAACTTGTCTTTACATACTTGAAACCCAGGAGATCAGAAGACAGAAGACAGGTGGGACTGGAATATCCAGATACTCTAAACAAAGTGTTCAGCTTCCTCTGCAGTCCAGCTTGTACCTTAATGCACCCACTTAATTTTCTTCTTTAAGCTCTTTCCCATGTTATGTTAACAAAGTCACGTATCCCTTGGAATGTGATCTGTGAACTAAGTGTGGTGATGTCTGGAAATAAAGCAGAAACTTTTCCAGACCATGTCAGAATGATAATATAAAAGCAAACATTTATGTGAAGGTTGAGTGCCTTCAGGTACATAATATGGCAAAAACCAGTGTCCCAGATTAGATCCTTGCAATTGATAAGATCAGGCAATTAGAATATCTGGTCAATATTGTCCAGTTAGAGGAGCAGTTGGTTTGTAATCTCCTTGGGTTCTGCCCTCCTCTCCTACCTTTGTTATGCCAGTGATTACATGGTACAAAATAAAGTGTCCTTGGGGAACTTACAAACAAGACAACAAAATTTTAGGAATGTGTCAATAAGTGCCTGCTCATTGTGGGAAGGAGAGCTGGAGAAGTACTGGAAGTTACACTGAGTCATTTAACAGTCTGCAGAACTACAAATACATGAAAAATACATAAAAGCTAAAAACTTCAGGCATCAGTGGGAAGCCAGTAGCCAGAATGTCTAATGAATCAGATATAATTCCATTACATATATTCACTGGGGCTGTTCTTAGTTATCATTGATATGTTAAAAATAGCTATTAAATTTAAATTTACTTGGAGCTTACAGTCATCTAACATACATACTCCCAACATATTTTACTTATCATTTCTTTGTGATTATTTTATTAATAATACATAATTACTTATAAAGTACATACCTGTACTGTGCAAGTTCTAATATTTTCTTCACATCCTGCAACGGGTTGTGTTGCACATCCCTTAGGGTGCTGCATCCTGTTTTGGAAGTCATTGATCTAATAGTGGTTTGATGGACTTGGATACCTCCTGCTGTATTTCTGTATAGCAAACACAAAACAAACAACTGCCAAAAAGTTAGGGTAATGGTTTGGAGGTTTTTCAGATAGCAAAAGGACAAGTGCATAGTACAACTTACAAAATGAGCTCAGACCATACAAGTATGTAAGAAGAGTAGTGATGAGAGCTGATATGTGGATGTTGTTGGCTTGGCAGTTGTCAATAGAGAGACTCCTCCCTGCTCTTCTGGTTTGTCCTTCCTCACCTGTAGACTAGGAGAAGTTTGTGGAAGTATTATCAAGCTTAATTATTTTTTTGTATCAAGTATTTTGAGATTGAGATGGAGAAGGAGAAGTGTAAAACATTACACTGATTCCAAATTGATTCTTGCCTTTTTGCTTTTATCTATTCCCTATATTCTTTACATATGTATATTTATAGCTCTGTAGCCTATTATTGCATTCATAGCTAGCATTTAACCTACTCTATTAGACAGAAAGACAAAATAAATTCCCCCGTGGCTCCAAGCCCCAGGGTCCAAGGTTAGGCTCTCTGAGAGGCAAGGTTGAAAACAGCTCTTCAAGACACATATTCATAAACAAAGCTTAGTTCCCATCTGAGGGGGGCTGTTCAGAAATGGGTGGAACCAGGGAGAATTACTTGTGTCTCTAATTGAGAATTTTTGTCAGTTATGCTAATTTGCTAAACATATAAAAATTGTATCTGCTTTGTTATGTGTGCATCTTCAACTCTTTTCATCTGGTGTGTTGTGCACCATAAGGATCCTTCCAAAGATAACCCCTTTTTGCCACCTGTGTCTGGCTCATCATTTCAGGACCAGTGAAAAAGCATCACATTACTCCCACAGTCCACAGACTTTGTTTCTGATAACTGTGACAAATACAAAAATAGCATCATCCTCAACTCTTTATTGTTTCCTATTGCTTACTGTGGAGACAGCACTATCATCCCCAAGCTCCCTGCTGTGAGCTCTTGCCATCCAGGGCAGCCCTAGCAGCAGTAGTTCTGACAGCAGCCATCAGAGGGGAGTATTGACATGGCTAAGACTCACCTTCACTATGCTGTTCAATTTAATTCTAAAAGAAAGAAAAAGTTTGTTGGATTGTCTTCTGCCTAATGTGCTTCTTTTGCTCAGGATCTGCGATGCCTTTTCTAATGAGGAGGTGCCAAATGCTCTGAAGGTGGTGGATTTCTCTCACAGCCTGGATTTGAGGGTACTGCCTCGAGTCAGCTTGCCCTATAACTTTCCCACAGCTCACACCCCTCATGGACAGCAGCTTCTGGCAGAAAGTTCTCTTCCTTATCAGGTGAGTCTGTATTTAGTAGGACATCTTAATTTCTGTGTTTCCTTTACAAAACCTATTTTCTTAAGTTAAAATTTATAAGTGCTGTGGAAAGCTCTGATCAATAAATACTGAATAAAGAGAATTTTGCATCTGATGGACTCTTTGGCATTAAGTGAAAGGATTAGCAGTGCTGTTCAGTGATTGTAGCTACTGTATTTATTTAGAAACCTACAATGAAAACAGAATTTTACCTTTTGAAGTTTTCTTGCTTAACAGGTCTCTGGAAGATTCTGGTGTAAAGATGCTTCCAACTTAAATGTGTGAAAGCAGTAAGAGCAGGAAGTGATAGACATTGAATTTTGTGGTGTTTGTTGTGATTACAGGTAGACTTGGTTGGCATTGCAGATATAGTCCATTTGCTGTTGTTTGGAGATCATATCCAGGTCTATCAGGAGAATTCCATCTGGAAAATCAGCCAAGACTTATCAAAGTAAGTCCTTTTGCAGAAGGGGCTGCTGGGAAAGAAGAGACCTCTAACTTCATTTTCTTTATAGTGATACTATCTTCAGAGCTTAGACTGTGCTATCTTCAGAGCTTGGAATGTACAGCAACTTGAGGCTGGTTTTGCCAAAAAGTGTTAGTTTTGTGGGGCCTGAAATTCTGCAGTTGTTGGACTTGTCCACTGGTAGCTTCAGTGCTGTGTAGGAGACAACTTTAAGTTGAATATGAATAATGTGGTTGAGATGATTTTGCTTTTTCCATCCTTTCAGATGAGACTTAGTCAGCACCTTACAGATCAAGCTTGGAGAAGTTTGTAAGTGGGTGGGTGGTGAGGGGGGGCAAAGATCACAAGAGCATGTTGCCTCAGAAATGGATTTGTTTGGCTTTCTGCTTTTTTTTTTTTCATTCTACTAAGACACTGATGGCAGGGTGTAACAGCTGTAGAAAAAGTACACTTGTGCAGCAAAGAAAATAATTTTAAAATGTCATCTAAGATGCAAGTGTGCAAACAGCTGCTTTTTGGAAGCTGCTGTTTGTCTCAGGTATTAAATTCTACTGCTCACTTTTAGCTGCGTGTTTTGACTATCAGTCTGCTCTGCCTTCTTGTGCCCTTTGTTTGTTCTTAGACTGAGCAGTTGTTTATTTTGTTAGGCACATACTGCAGGTTTTCTTGGCATTTCACAAGGATTTTCCAGAACTGTGCACTCATGACAGCAGTTGCTGGACAGGTATCTGATTCAGGATCATGGATCACTCCTAGGACCATTGCTTTAAGAAAACCCACTACAGCGTGAGAGTTGTCCAGTTCCCTAGCAACCTGCACTGCTTGCATCTCCCAGTTTGCTGTATTCAGCCTTTGGAAAAAATCCAATCTTCTTAAGCTGTGTACAGAGGAAAAAATGTCTTTTTTTTTTTTTTTTAACTGTGTATATGTCTGGTTTCCTACTATGATATCCTTTGTTAAATTCTGCAGAAGATTAAATTGAGCTACTGCAGATGAAGCCACATAAAGCCTGAGTTGAGAAGGCTGGGACATGGTGTCAGGGACATGATCAGGATGTGGGTATGGGAAAAAGAGCAGTAACTTCTGGATAACTGGAGCAAGAGGAATAATAAGTCTGAGTTGGGAAGGATAGGGCTGTCTGTCCCTCAGTGGAGTTTGGAGAGAAGTATATTGGAAAGGAATTGTAGTCAAAGCTGGCGATGCTGGATTGAAAAAATCAGGATTTTGGGCTGAGGTAAGAATTGGAGGGAGTCTTGAGGAAAGAGACCTGTGAAGGGCTACAGGAGACACAGCAGGAAGAAGATAAAGCCTGGGCACAAGTTCTGTGGAGCTGGAGCCAGGCTGTAATGGCTTCTCACTCCCCTGCATGCATCAGTTCATAATTTGGGAGTTCAGAGTCCAAATAAGGAATTCATTTTCCACCCTCTCTTCTGCTTTGCTTCTGAAAGTGTTATAGACTTATCATTTATTATCTATACTTACTTTTCAATATCAGTTATTCCAATAAATGTCTGCATAAGTGCTTTAGTTACACATTGTACTGAAGTCTTATATCAACAGTGTAAATGAGCTATTTCATTATGTGGGAATAAGGAATTTGCACTGAATCCATTTCCATTCACACATGGATCTTTTAGTCTGTCTAGTTCTTATTGATTGATGACATTTGCTCTAGTCAGTTTGAAGCTTTCAAGTAACCTGTGACAAGCAAATTCACTGCTGCAGGGAGCCTTCATCCACCAGAAGAGGCTCCACAGCTGAGTATTCCCTGGGAGAAGAGTCAGCTGATGGAGATCAGTTTTGCTCTTCATCCTGTGCATACAGCCACCCGTGCTGGTGACACTGTAACACCTCCCAAGACACAGGATTCTTCTTCCTGTTGCTTTTGTAAAGATGGCATTGCTTCTGTCCTTTGTGTTCAAAGTTCTCAAAGTGTTTTTTTTATTTCTTTGAGGTTCATTTGAGTTTGTTTGGTGGTTTGTTTTGGGGTATTTTTTTTCAAGGATTTTATTGACAGAATAACTTTCTTCAAAAAATGTTCTGAGATTTCAGGTATTGACAGCTAGAAATAAAGCTTCTTACTAGAAGGCTGACTGGGGTTAAATACAACAACCATGATCCTCTTATCTTAAGAAAGCTTTTTCAACAGGACTTAATTATTTTTATTAAACAAATGTAGATATAGCAGAATGACTGCAAGAGCTACTGATTTTACTACCAGTTCAGCAAATTACCAAAGCAATGGGGAATTGCAGAGTAGAGCACAACATTTTTCTTCCAAGGTCAATGGCTTTCAATAAAAGAGAACCCACTTAAAAGGTGACAGAATGAATGGAAACCACTGAAACATTGTAGTAGAGATTTAGGAGAAGGTAGAATTTAAATTGTGATCAAGTTGTTTTTTTAATCTTCAAGTATAATACTGACAGCCTGTTTTTCAGGGGAGAATTTTTACCATAATTAAGGAATGGATAAGGTGATTTTTTTTCTTTTTTCACTACTATTTTAGGAAATGTCATCTGTGCAGGTTTATGTGAGCAGGGTATAGAAGCTGCATTTGAATTTTTAGGACTATTTTTGTCACTTGGAACTCTTGACACCTCCTTAGCAACACTTCATCTCCTGTGCCACACCTCTTGCTCATCTAATCCCACAAAGAAAATGGACTCAAGTCTTGTATATTGTTTTCTTGGTTAGGTTCTGCATTGATTATTTTAGCAAATATAAGAGTTACCAGTGAAATAGCACAAATAGTACAGGCTGGGTTCGTTCTGAGACTGGCTGCTGCTGTTTTGTGAGTCACTTAGATAAAGCAGAGGCAGATAATTTGTTTCAAAGCCACTGTAACTCCTAGCTCGAGGGAGAAAAATGCTTCAGTAGTCAGTAGCAGTGCAAGACTGAAGAACAAAGGGTTTGCTCTAATATCAGTTTTCTGAAACTTAAATGAGTCACTTAACCTTTTTATTCATGTTGTGTGGGTACATCTGGGAGAGAGGGGATTTATTACTATTAATTGTCTCCAAAATATTATCTGTACAGAACTCTTGCAGATGGAAGGCAGGGTAAAAAGGAAGCAAAACTGGCTCTAAACCACCTTTTTCTTTTTTTTTTTTCTTGCAGCTTTCCTTTAATATTGCCCTGTTAACTTAGCTTGCAAGGGGGTAAATAAGATTTACCTCTGCCCTTTATTCATGAAAGGAGTTTCCCAAGTTGTTTAGTTCAAAAATGTTCTTGATAATTCCTGTAAACTAAAACTGCTGTGGCTTAGTGTGAATGATGGTATTGGTCAGGTATGCTAGTAGAGGTAACTGTATAAGCATTTGGTTTAGACCTGTGTAACCAATAGGTATCCAGAAACCTATTGGAGAAAGAGAATGGGGTCCATACATATAAAATGAGCAACACATTCCTAGTTTTCCTTTATATTTACTCAGGTGAGTGAAATTATTATTTCAGGCATGGTTCTCCCAGGATGTTTGGTGCTGAATATAAATGAAGACCTTGATAGACACACTGTATATATATTTATGTGTGTGTGTGTGTGTATTGTTCCACTGAATGCTGCTCTGTTTGTTTTAGGACTCCTGACAGTGATTTCTGGAGTAAACTTTTTGAGAGAATTCTGAATGCAGATGGTAAGTCCACAGTACCTCTGCTGAGGGAGTTAAGAGAGGAAATCAGTGAAATGTTTGACAGCTCTTTCAAAGAACGACTTTTGTTGACCTTAGCTGCTGTGGGAGAAACTTTCCTCCTGGTGAACTTCCAGTGACTTCATAGAAAACAAACACATTTTGTATTCTAGAGAAGAATTTGTTGTTGCTTTCTTATGTTTTCAAATGTAAAAATGAGAGTGATTGGAGCCATTTCTGCAATACTTCACATGGGACTTGCTCAAGAATGTTTCTATTGCATGAGTGTATGGAAAACCTCCTGAGCCTCTACATGAACCTTTTTGTGTCGGGGCAGTTTGTGAGAGAAAATTGTTTGTCTTTACTGCCACCTCCCCTTCTTGTACAGCTCCTTAAAAATTTAACACCTAACTTGCACCACACTCTTTAAAATGTCTTTGTCCTGCATTCAGTTGGTCTTTTATTGTTGTTTAATCAATAAAGTTGTGTTTTGGTAGTGAGTATCATATTTAACATTGCTATCAAATGGTTTCAAAAGACTTCATTTAGAATCCATGCAGGAGTGCTGCTGCCTGACTGGGAATATTTTGTGGCTGGTGGATGCAAAAGCCCCTCATTTGGTGGCAGCTCTCATAACCACATGGGATTTCCTGGACACTTGAATGCAGCTTGAAAGATTCTACTTGGAATGTGTTCTTGTAGAAAGTTGCCACAAGAAGAAGTAGATGAAGTCAGAAGTGGAAAAGCTGCACATATAAACCATTTTTCTTCTTAAGGCAAGAGTTTTGTTTACTTTTGCAAGGGCTGGAGTTCCTGATTGGATTTGAGCATCCCTGAAATCTCAATTTGCCCTAAGTGATGTGTTGGCAGGCTTTTGTGGGAGGTTTTGGGGATAGTTATATGTGTTAACCTTTTATGTACTGCATTACTGAAACCAGTACAAAGGCTTCATTTTATTCAAGACAACAGAATTTACCAGACCCAAACCCAAGGTGGTACTATGCACTTGGTACTTGAAGTGTAGGGAAACTTCTCAGACTTGAGATTTACTTCCTTACAGCTTCTCCCACACAGGAAAGTGAGAGTAGACAACTGCATCATTAGCAATTTCTTCTCCCTAAGAAGCCAAATGGACTGTGTTTTTTCATTTTGTTGAATTCACCAGCCATGGTTCTATTTGGTTCTCCCCCTTTGTGTTACCTTCAAATTTTGAGGGGGAACTCAATTTTGTCTTTTCCACATTGCTTCAAGCCACTTTCTTTCCTGCTTTGTTTCTGCATATTCCATCACTGTTCCTCTTACTCTGGCCTGTCTTCTTTTTGCTGTCTTGGATTCCTAATGCCTTTTTTTACACTTTCTCTGAGAGGGTTAGGGTTATATATTCTAATTCAGGAATAGGACCTAAATGCCCTTGTAGACCAGCTTTAATATCGAATGTAAACTGCTGCTGAAGAATTTATTTTGGTCCATTAATGCCTTAATTAATGCTTCTTGTAGTACATTGATTAGTCATCTGTTGAGCTAGCAGATAAACAATGCTCTGTCTCTAACCAGAGTTTAGAGCCAAGATCACTGGTAGAGCAATCAGGACTCCAATGCACAGCTAACTTCTGCTACCTCTAAAAAGATGCCATGTTTGTTCTTTTATTTAACTGAAATTTTTTTGCTTTTGCTGATCCTTTAACTGCCTTTTAGACAAAATCTGGGGAATCTCACTTGCTGTCCTCTCACTTGCAACTTTTTCAGTTTATATCCTGCAGCACTGAGCTGAATACCAGGTAGATTAGGAAGAGAAGGCTCCTAACAAAGTTTCAGTCATCCCAAGGACTTCTCAGACAAGGCGTGTTTGTAGCCTGTACAGAACAACTTCACTGTGTCTAATTCGCACAGAAAGCTTTTGAGGACAGGCTGAACAGAGATAAGAGCTCTCAGCAGAAGTTCAGTAGAGGAAATCTGTTCTTCAGGTCTTTAAAATATGTAAGTGAACCTATTTGTCTTTACTTAAATGAGATCTAAATCACAGCTGCAATACTCCACTATTACTTTTTTGTTGGCATCTGTTTTCTTTCTAAACAAAAAGTGTGCTAATCCTTCTCTGTCTAATATGGCTGCTTATGATCTCTTCATGTTACTCTTCATGTACATCCCTGACAACACAAAACTGCCCCCCAGTAGTGTAAAAACAGAAACAGCCATGACATTATAAATTTCTCCATAATAAACACACACAAATAACGAAGAGGAGCAAGCAGGTACAACAAGAACCAGCAGTCATCTGTTCTGATGGTTGTTCCCACTTCTGCTTCGATGAACTCTGCCTCTCTGCTGCACAGGTCAGTCTCTGCCTCCCCTCTGCCATGTGCTGATTGCACCAACATGTAACAGGAACTGAAGGAGCTCTTGGGACATCCCTGTTGTCTGTTCAAGTAACTGCCTCTAACCTTAAACAAGCTTGTCCTGAGCATCACTTTTTGCATCATTGTGTAACACACAGGTGCTCTGTGTCCTTGCAGGCTGGGATTGCCATAGATGTGTCATGAAGTAGGGACACACCAGCCTTGCCCGCAGGATATTTGGAGATGAAAACTATCTTAATATTTTCTGAGGGAAAAGAGGCATTTATAAATCCTGACAGGACAAAATGTTCCACACCAGGTAGAGGGTAAAATGAAATTGTGTGACAGCCAGATGTAGAAGTCCTAGTGAAGTTATCATTAAAAAATAAAGTGATGGAACCTGGGCTATGGAAAATTTTAATGCCTATTAGATAAATAAAAGTGCACAAAAGAAAATAGGAATGTGATGGGTCATGATTGTACCAGGTTGCTTGGGAACAAAACTTGACCAGAGATACAAGAAGGATGTCTGGAAGATATCTGCAGGCTTCAGCTGCTTTGATTCAGAAACTGAAATAATCAAACTATTAATGTCCACTCTGTTAAGCAAAAAGGGGTCTAGAAATATTTGCAGGAAATCACTGAGCAACCAAAAATGCTAAAGGTAAAAATTAGGGGCTCATTTAATGTGCTTGAGCTGTGGATGGGACAAACCCCACAGGTGTGAGCCATTTTCTTCTTAAGCTCTGGAAGCTGCAGCTGGAGTTGATTGCACTGTTTCTGAGGGCTCACCAAGATCATTGCTTACACCTGTGAAATACAGGTGGTCCAGGTTACCTCCTTAGTGGCTCTTGGTGGAGTGACCAATGATGTTACAGAACCTAATTGCTTTTTAAGGTACACCTGCAAGCATTTACAAATCCGTTGGGATCTCTGAAACTCGCTTTATTTTCTCACTTAACATCTGAAGAGATCATTTTAAGGAAGCTTGAGGAAAGGTGAGGATTACTGATCATCTGCTGGTCTTCAAAGGTATGTGATTTGTAGATTTAAAATCCTAACTCTGAGATAATTGGGAAATCTCCTAAAATTTATCACAGAAGTGCACTCAAAATATATGTATCTGAGACTTTTGCAGCCTGGGGTTTGTGTTCAATAAAAAGATCAAGAAAACCTCAGAAGAGAAAGATGCACCTGGTAACTGGTGCATCACATTATCAGAAGTGTAAGCCTGAGCTTGTGCTAGCAGATTAAATGATTTCACAGAATAAACTAGGATTTTTGGGGTTTCCAGAGTAAACTAGAAGGGACAGGCAATTCAGGAGAGCTATAAGGATGTTGTGAGGTTATGCAGGGACAAAATTAAAAGGGCCAAAGCCCAACTAAATCTGTCTTTCACTGTTGTGAAAGACAGTATAAAAATGGTTCTATAAATAAATGAGCAACAAAAAGGGCTGAGAAGAATCTCCATTCTTATGGGACTTTAAGGCACTCTTTAGTGGTTGAATCAGTGTCCCTGGCAGGATTTAAATAATATATAGAGGTGGCACTTGGGGATGACCTGGATTAGTAGTGAACTTGGTGGTGCTGGGTGGGCTCTTGGAGATCTTTTTCAACCTTAATGATTCTATTATTTAAAGAAGACAAATCACCCCTTCTGCATGAGCATTAGCAAGCAATTCTGTATCTTTCTTCTGTTCTGCTGCTGCTTTCCCAAATAATATTCCAAAATGCATTTGGGCTAAGGTGCAGCTCCTGAGATGCAGCACTCCCTGCTGTGCCCCAGTGATTTCCCCAAGGATGCCTCGATGTACAAAAGCTGAGTTCTTATTTGAAGTGAGTTATTTGCCTGTGGGCTGGGAATTGGTGGTTGGAGTCTTTCCTTTAGCCTTGGGCGATGGGCACTGCAGTCACATGGATGTGCCTGTGTTTGTACAGATCACCCTTAAAGCTTGACAAGGAACACTGAACTCCTTTAACAGTTTCATTCTTTTGGTTCTTACTATTTCACACTTTTTGCCCCTCTGCTCAGTTAATCCAGCAGAAGCTGGATGCTGTTTGGAAGCTTAGAAATATGAAGGTTTCATTTCCATAATAGTTTAAATTATTAAACAACATGAACATCAAGGTCATTCAGTAAAGGCTGAGGAACAATGTTGTTCATTTGTTGGTTCTAGAAATATTTGTTCCCTGCTTTCCTTTTGTAATAACTATGATCCAAAGCTATTTAATTATTGACCTCATGGTTCCAGCTGGTGTGGAAGTGTGATTTACCAAGCAAGATCAGGAGCTGGATGACACAATGCTGATAAAAGACAAATGTTATTGTTCAGTTTCTAGGCCTGAGCTGATGGGTTTTTTTCCCAGTGCTTTGGATTCTCTTGATTTTTCAGTGCCTTGGGTTGTATATTTCCTTGAAGTTAAACTAGTAATGTACTTTGTGCAATACTTTATGTTATCATTCACTCGGGAATCATTTTGTAGGGAAAAAAAGAGTTGGAATATTGCAGAATTCAGTATTGGTATGCTTCCTTGATGTGCAGTAAAGCCACTGGACTGTTCTGCATCTACCCCTAAAGAGCCAACCTGGATTAGTACTTTACCTGTATGTGAACTGAACTGGCTTATTCCAAGTGCATGCTAAAATTATTATTTTTGTTCCTCTCTAAGTTCTTAATCTTCCCTTTTCTCTCCTCTGTGTTTTGCTATTTTTACATGCACTAAACATTAGTTCTGTAAGAATTGTGTTGATGTGCAAACCCCACACAGTCAAGGCCAAACCAATAGTCACAGGATCCTTGGGGGTCCCTTCCAGCTGAGGCTGTTCTGTGATTCCATGAGTTATTACTGAGTGGTATAAGCAGTATGAAGCCTTTACATAAACCAGGGTCTCTGTCCCCTCTCTTTTTGTGACATGTCTTTCCTTCCAGAAGTGGTTGTATCTCAGTAATGCTGCAGAGATTTTCAGGGCAGAAGTTACTCTACAAACATGAATGTTATTTAACCTCAAACCCAGTGAGGGGCTGGGAAAGATAAATCGAGCTCTAATGAATGAAGTCCGAAAGCTGACAGCATTCAGTAATCTCACTGGCTTGGGATATTTTCTGACAAGAAAATTAATTTCTGAAACTTGTTGACAGAAACATCAAGAATGGAGCTGCTGTCTTTGCTTCCACCCACCTCAGCAAAGAGTGGGGGAAGAGAAGCAGCTCTTATAAATAGCTTGGTTCCTGTTGTATTTGTAAGTTCGGTGCTTTTTGTGTCAATGACATCACCCTCTTCTCCATGGCAACCCCCTACGATGTCAAAACTGCAGGGCACCATCAGAGGAACTCAGACCAGCAGATTAACAGGTTGAATCAAGATGATTTAACTGCAAAATAGTGCAGGGGCAACTGAAGGAGGTGGGAAACAAAGAGGCTACTGGCAGCTCTCTGGAAAACAAGCATCTCTAGTGTCTGATTCCCCAAACTCTGCCCTATCTCTTTTTCCAAGTCCTTGTCAGGAGGGGGTAGTGGAGGGCAGGCAGCAATCTTATTCCCGATCTTCAGTGTGTCTGGAGAGCACAACTACAGGTGACTAAGCAGGAGGAGTATGACTGACTCACTCCTGAATTATTTCTCACTCCTCTTCCCCCTCCCATCTATTCTGTTTGTTTTTTTAGCTTTCACCCAACAGCTCAGATTTTTCCCCCGGCTCTGATGAGGAAGAATTAGCAGCAGGCTTTCTTGTTACCTAATGTTCACAAAAATGTGCTTGTGGTTATCCAGGTGAGGAAATAGAAGCCAACTCCAAGAACAAGAAAAATGAATTGGCTCTGGAATACAACACCTTTATCTGGGAGAAAAAAAAAAACCAACAAAAAACAGTGCTTCTCTTTTCTGAGTGTTGTGTAGGAAATACTGAAGTAACTGACGTGCCAGGAAGTTGTAAATAACTGGCTTCTTTATCAGGATACCTATGGAAAATACCTAATTGCCTCCCTGGCAGCCCTGCTGGTGTTGATTTCTAAACTGACTGCAGTGGGGAGAAGCCATGGCACTTGGTGTCTTGATTAAAACATTGGATTCTGCTGGGTTGCATTTGGACTCAAGGATCAGGAATATAATGGTTACAGCTGCAGAGTTTCAGCCAGTATGAGCTGTTTCAATCAGCTTAATAAATCTGTCCTCATTTACATCCCTGTGAAGTCTGAAGCCATAGAACAGTTTACCTTCCTTCTCAGGGTGCCAGGCGAACTGTTGAAACCTAGCCTGCAGAAGTGTCAACTTTGTATTAGCTTTTGCAATTTTTGAAATTGCATTACTTGGGACCCAGGCAAGTTAGGCAAGATCAGCACAATGCCCAGAGTCCTGACATCCACAAAAAGACGTGGCAATGCTCCCCACATAGAGAAACGAGTCTGTGATGGAATGACACTTTATTTGCCACTTGTGGCCTGCAGTTTACAGGCATGAGAGTCTTTAATCACAGATTCTCAAAGTGTAAGGCTGTTATGTCTGTAGCTCTCTCCCCACCCCAGTGTGATGCTAAGCCTGTGTTTTCCAGGCTTGGTTGAGGGGAAAATGCATGGAGTCTCTACACACCAGAATCTTGATTAGTATCTTGCTTTTGCCTTTTGTGCAAAATGCCACTCAAGGCACTGTGCCATCCTCTTTGCTGAGCTCACAGCATCAGCCCACGATAAAAAAAGGTCCCAGAAAACATTGACTCACTGCATCCCAGCATCCTGACAGGGCTATGTGTCTGCAATGAGATCTCCTCAGCCGGAACTGCGAGGTTTCAATGGAATTGGTGTTTGTGAGGCTGTTTTACCTTCCCTGAGTTGTGCTACCACCTGTACTGCGTGCCGGGAGCAGGGGTGGGAGCATTGGGATCACTGCCCAGCACCTGGCAAGGGGCAGTGCTGCTGAGGAAGCAGCTGGAGCCGGGGGCTTTGCATGTGCATGAGGAGTTTTCTGCAGAAGCTTTAAGACTAAATTGCTGAGAATTTTTGCCTGAAGCAAGGGATGTTTCCCGTATTTAAGACAAGCAGCAACCTGCAGTCAGAAGGAAGAAGGGACTGAATTTACTCCAGAAGTATTTCTCTGGGATCTTTTTTCAAGGTAAGCCTGCTTTTGTGGGAGGTAGATGGGGCAGCAGGGCTCAGCATTCTGGACACTGAAACTAAAATGACTTCTTGCATTTTTATTACCTTCCCGGTCTGTAGAACTCAGATAAATGTATTATGTCTCTGGTACTCCCTTTTTAGGCTGAAAAATTAACCAGTAAGAGCTAATTTTCTGAGGTCTGAAGCCATGAAAATGGGTGGGAGAGAATTTTTTTAACACTGCCTTGTGCCTGTGGTGTTTTTAACACTGCCTGTGTTCTAGTGGTGAATAAATGCCAGGGACTGTGCCTCTAAAACATACATTTAAGTAGCAGAATGATGGGTATTGAAAGAACAGTAGATGAATGAAAGTAAAATTTAGTAAATAGACATCAGCTTAGGTTTATTAATTTAGTAATTTTCAACATTGCTAGATTATTTGTTGTTCTGTAGGAGGTGAAATGAAGATGGTTCCTGCCTTGGGAATTTGGACTTAAAGTTTTTTAATTGGCAAGGTTTGAGGGAATGCTGTTGAAACCTAGAGCAAGGAGATAAGACTTCTTTTTTAATTTGTATGACACCTGAACAATCAGTTTATGGCTCTTGAAAACTATTGGTTGAGAGGCCAGAAAGTAGTAGGGAGCTTGTCCTAGCTGCAGGAAAAGCATGTTAAAGGTAGGGAAAAAATACCTTGAATGTACAGAGATGGCTCTGAAAAAAACTGGTAACACCTAAAAAATGTTTGCTCATCAGTGTCCCTTCCTTACACTGAAACGATTCCTAGCTGGGAACCCTCCAGCCTGAGAAATGTGGGCTTAGGTCATGGGTATAAATGACAGTCCTTGATGGGAGTACAGCAGAGCATGGATTTGGCAGAGCTGCTGGAGCCACGGAGGGAAGGCACTTGCTGAGCCCAGAAGTGCAGGGCAGAGCATCCACACTTTCTCTTTGCATGCTAATGGTGCTCATACGTGAATGCAGTTCCATTTTGCTCTTGGAAAAGGAATAATATGTGCTCATAAAAGAAAACCACCTTCTAGTTAGGGAAATAACTATAGTCAGTAAACTTTTGGAAAAAAGCCTTGTCAAGTCTGTCAAGAGAGACATCAAAATAATTTGTTGCCTCTTCTTTTCCCTAGGGAAGGTGGGAACCAAACAGTGCCTGGAGGGAATCTGTGCCCTGGGCAGGCTGCAGAATGGCTGGGTGAGGTTGCCTGGGGAAGGGCACCTGTGCCAGTGTTGAGGCAGGGGCTGGTGGCCAGGAGGGCCTTGGTGCCAGCAGTGGTTGTGTAACGTTGTGCTGTGTCCGCAGCTGTCGCTGCCAGGCACTGGATCAGCTCACGCACTTGGATGTAGTTGCTGCAGCTTGATTCCACTCTGTAGAAATAGTTGAGGATATTCCTGCCAACTTCCAAGTCAGGAGTCATCAGTTCTGCCTCTGTCACTTGGGGAGCATGAATGAATAACTCTTAAATCATTAATCTAGCACAGCTTCCAAGAATCCTGTGTACCCAAGTCTGGAATACATTGTGATCCGATTCATTATCCAGGGACAGCAAAGACTTTGAAGAGGTGTTTACCCAGGGGTGACTGTGCTGCACTTCAAACTCCCAAAGAAAATCAACAACATGAGAGGGTAGGGGGGAGCAAAAGAAGTGGAAGCAAGGCCCCAGAGGAGCAGGGAAATCAGAAAAGGACAGTAGTAGCCACATGCTGTGGACTGGTGGGCAGGCCAGCACAGCAGCCTTTGGGGGATTATGAAAGCTGCTGCTGTTGCTTTTGGCAGTGCCACTTGACATAATTTTAAACTGGAATTCTGCATAGCCAGTATTAAACACCAGGCTATCTTCCATGGGATGGTTCTTTATATCTGGTAAAACCTTGTATTTTGCCTGGCAATGACTTGGTGGTAGAGGGGGGCTTTTTTGAGTTCCAGAGAGAACCGTGGTAGGATGGATAAATAAGAGGAAACAAGTGTTGCTGCTAGAGAATGCAAAGCACAGCAACCTAGATAAAGGTGATCCTAATTGAGGAGGAGGAGCATTGGTATCTAATTAAAACTACTCCTAAAACCCAGGTTCTTAGCAGTAAAATAAATAATAGCAGGACATGAGTAATTCCTCTCAGGGGGAATGTCAGAGACAAAATTACACTAATGTAGTAATAAGAGGGGCCTGTGTGCAATTTCTCAGAGGAATAGAAACAGGGCAGAATGATTTTTCACTGCTAAGAAGTTCAAATGTGGTTCAAGGGACAGATGCTGGTTAAAGCACACGCTCCTCAGGCCTCTTCCAAAGACAGAGCTGTCTGAGTTTCTGAGCTGGATGTTCTTGCAGGACTTGGCAATCCCAGCACAGAGACTGAGCTCCCTCTCTGCTTTAAGAAATGATGGCAAGTTCTGTGTGTCACTTGCACTCCTGCTGCTCAGTCAGGGTGTTTTCTGTGAATTAAAAACAAATATTTCAGACCCAGACTTAGGACAAGTGTGCCCCATGTCATGCATCTGAAGGCATGAAAGAGCATTAGGCACTTTTGGTTTCCTTATTTCCCTCCCATTCTTTATTTTTGATCATCTTAGAGTTCTCTCTGCATTCCTCAAGCTGTGATGCCCTTTTTGGGGAGGTGGTTAAATAGTGTGAACTCATTAACCACTCTTGACTGAGTAACAGCCAGTGACATAACATGTTTCTTCTCCATAACTGCCTTGCATAATGCTGCATTTCAGTTTTGGTTGCTCCTTCCATTTCATGCTTTTCATTTCTGTGACATCCATCTGTTTACCAGACAAGGTTGGGGGGGGGAGGGGAGTGGAAATAATCCCAGAATACACAAGGAAAAACCCATACAAGTGAGGCTGGTTAGGGCTTGGAGGAGCCTGATCTATTGGAAGGTTCCCTGCCCATGGATGGGGGCTGGAACTAGATGATCTTTAAGGTCTCTTCCAACCCAAATTATTCTGTGATTCTATGAGTATATAATGAAGAAGAGGCATTGGGACACTAGAATGAGACCTGCTGTTGCAGTGAGAGAAGATCCTGGATACTTGGGGAGCAGGAAAGCAGGTAGTAGAACTTTTTTCCTTTTGTGTTGTTCTTCCTTTCCTCTCCCTTTTACCCCATCTGTGAAAACAACCAACCAGCAACCCTCAGCTCTCCCCCAGAACCCCCAAGTTTAGTCAAAGGACAGAGTAAGATGATAGTAGCTTGTGATAGTTGTGGAAGGCCATTTTTAACCTGCTCTGAAAAATCAATTTGGCTAAACTGTGGCTTTGAGCAGTGTCATTTTTGGTGTAGACCCAGCTGAGGCAATGCAGCAGCATCCCCTGGCCAGGGGCAGGTGACCTGCTCATATGGCATGGAGAGAATGTATAGACAAGATTGTGTCATTGTTAAAATGAAACATGGCATTGCAAACTAGAAAGCAAATGGTACTCAGCAACTTGAGCAGGGACAGTGACTCCATAAGTTGATAATGTCAACTTGATGGCTCTGAGCTCAATTGTTTGTCCCTGAGATTTGGATAAATAGAGTTGACTGTCTGTGGGGTCAGTGTTCCCTTATTGACGGCCTTCTAGTTTTTTTACTTTCTTCCCTGCCAAGTATTGTGGGAACCATTTTATCCCACCTGTGTCAACATTTGAGTCTTCTAAATCTGTGACTTTTCAAGGCACAGAAGGAGCTGAGGGTCTTCATAGCACAGCTGGAAAGCTGTGCTTAGAGGAGGAGAAGGAGGGTGCAAGTCTGTCCTTAATCTGGGCCAGGAACAGAGGAGTTAACATGTAGTGGCCAGAAGGCACTACACAGATCTTAAAATAACCAAGAACAGGATAATTTGGCTTAAAAAACCATCTGGGTCTTGATTCAGTGCTCATTAAAATTCATAGTAGCCTTATGATTGGCTTCTGGAAGAATTAAGCAGGGTGTTACACTTCATAATGAGTACTTTGGGCCCTGGCCAAGAAAGTACATCACTGCATACAATAATGCTAGAAATTAACTTCTTTCCTGTAACATCCAGCTTAGAATGAGGATCTTTCTAGCACTTGTGGCAGTCAGTGAAAAAGCTCTGGTTTCAAGGGATTTTGGATTGCACCCGAAGAACAGATGTTACAGCTGACTTTGGGAAGAAGTCTCTCTGGGCAAGTCATCTCTGAGCTGGTCATGCTGCAGCAAGCTGTCCACTCTGGGGACCCTCTCAGTCTGCAGCCATCAGAGCTCCTGAGTGTGCAGGGAAAGGAGAAAAGTCAGACTGCAAACCTAGCACTGGGATGGAGTAACTGGGGCCTAAAAGGAAAAATGCCTGCTTGTGTTTATTTCATTAGAAACCTAAATGTATTAACCAATGGCACAAATAGCTTAGAATCTTGTGGCACCTCATCAGCCATGAGATGATGTCAGTAGACAAAATGCCCCTGTCTGTGACTGCTGCTGAGAAAACCTCCTGATTTCTGCCTCTTTCTTAGAGAATACTGTTTGGTATTAAAGGAAAGAAAATAATTCTGCTTGCTCCCGAACCAGGAACTTGCAAAGCTCTTTGGCCTTTTGTGTTCTCTCCAAGTTCTAAATACGTTCTCCCAAAGCATCTCAAAACAGCAGCCTGGGTCACATAAAGCTGAGCCAATAACTTATTTAGGAATATTACATTTTATTCATTTAAAGAGTCTTGTAGAACTTGGGCTCACCTGAATTTTCTGGCTACTCCTAGCCTGTGGTCTGGGATCACCTTCAGTGGTCTGTGGCTGTGCTTAGACTGAGACTGCTACTTGTGGAAAGAAGAAAATGAAGGAATTTTCAAGATAAATACTCAAGTATTTCTGCAGGACATCTTTGGGCACCACTGTTACCCAGGCTTTCAGTTTTCATTAAAATTCTCAAGAGCTAAATTTAAAAATGGTAATTTTAAGTGTTAAGAAGCCTTTTTTCCCCCCAAAGATCACATGTGGAATGGAGACAAACTAGTTGATTTTTTTTGTGTTGGAATGTATTTTTAAAAATTAATTTATTTATAGAATTTATT